TCGCAATAGTAGTAAAGTCGGAAAAAAACAATAACAAGGATCACTCGCCTTCAGAAACTGTGTATTCTCGCCTTTCTTCATGCGCTTCTCGATTAGCTGCAAGGCCTGCTTCATGTTCTGCGAGTCAATTGCATCTTGGATTTGGTTGTTGCGACGCAGAAACACCGCGTCATTGCTAGAGCTCATGGTGGAGGTGTTGTTCACTTCAAAGGGAAAACTTTTCAATTAGCGTCTTTCTCAGAATTGTCTGATCGCTGTGCCTAGCACAGCATGGACTAAAAAGGGTCAATGATGTGAGTTGGAGTTGAATGATCGACTCCGGTCACTTTTTTATTTGGCGGGGAAGGAGACCAATTAGGGGGCGGTCAGTTGGTCCCCGCACCATTCTGCCGGCAAGAAACCAACATTTGGAGCACGTGGTATGCGTTGTACGCACCCTCGATGTACATTCTTCAATAATGGAGATTAATATAAATGTCAGATCTAAAAAAAAAAGCATGAAAAAGTGACTATAGCACCACTGGAATTCGTAAGGAAGAAGAATTAGACCTGTAATTCAAGGTGAAATAGTATAATAAAGACCGTAACAACATACACATGCGTATAGTACCAAGAGTGACCATTCCGTTCATAAGCGTGGCTTCGTACTAGGTCCTCAGGTCCGTGTCTATCAAGTACACATTACCCCATAAGGTAAAATTAAGTATAGTGAGGTCAGAGGTCCCATTTGTTTGTCAAGTATGACCCACTTGTAGCTTCGTTCATTTCGTTCCAGCGTCGTATGCTCCTGTCGTTATATTCGCCTGTGACAGGGGCATAGGATACCTGCGACAGCCTGTAGTGACAATTGGGGTATTTTCAGTTTGGTGGCTGTAGGTTTTAATAGTTGGGGGCCTGTTCAAGCGTGATCTCAATTCCGTGGGAGCATACATAGCCTATAATCTTTCCGAGATGATAGACAAAATGGTATCATATATCAATCGAGTTGCATTCGACTGAATGTGGTTATCAGAAGCACTACATCTGAACAAGATAGAAAGGTAAGACCCCAACGCTACGAAAATGTTAATATACACAGTTAAATCACTCAAAGATCCATTGATAATCCGATACGCCATGTAGAAATCAAATCTCAGGAAAGCAACCCGAAAAAGGCCGCTTATCTCGTAGGTAAGAACCAGACCATGGAACGTTTTTGCCAGAAATGAAAAATTTTTCACCAGCCTAAAAAGATCAGGATGCCGGAAAGCAGTTCAAATGCTTATCATATAGCAGTTCACATGACAGAAGCTAGGATCTTGGCTTGGTGGACTTCTGATTATTGGATTGATAGAAGAGTACACCATATGCGTTGACATGCAACAACTGCTTTGGGAATGTCGGGGATTTTGCCAGCCAGGGACGTTGTCAATCGTTTCGGTAATAATTTTCCGGATAATTGAGGTGTCTCATTTAGACTGAGGCGTCAAAGAAGCTTTCTTCTGGGTAAGCTGTGCCTCGTTAGCGACCGAGTATACTCCTACATACGTCGAATCAAAGTCAACGGATCTTGGGAACAGGACACAAAACCTGCACAATATAGGAGGTTGAGGCGATAATGGCAAGTTCTGTATTCAACTTACCCAGTTCTTTTTGCAATCACGGTAAGCTCTAGACAAGGTAATCAGTCAGTAAGAAAGCACAGACTTATGATAATTATGACAATATTGTAGAAGTTGGTCCAAAGCCAAGCACTTTGCATGGAGAGCAAACCAACGTATTGATCATAAGACAGAAGAACTTTTGACATACTGGAAATAATCGTGGCACAGTTCGCGCTCGAAGGCATTCCGTTTCATACACTTGAGACTCCGATCCGCAAAGTCTTGGCATGGGTCGTAGTACTCGCTGGCATGTTTACTAAATCACAAGTTAGCTATCAGTATGGGTAAAAGTCACACGTGTTCAGCCCAATGAATATGCAACCATCGGGCTAGCCTGTATGGATCTCAAGACTCCATATTCCAAGTAAACATGATCCCATGGACCGCGCCCGCGATCATAGATGACTTCGGAAACGTCATATCATATTTTGGGAATGGGAAAACACCGAAGGAGATGAAAGGAGAAACATTGAAACATACTGTGTGAACTTCTTCTCCGCTTTCTCCCACGCTTTGTCGTGGTCTCCTTGGGTTGACTCGGCCGCCATGGGTGCGGTGAGTTCGTATATATCCCGTGTTTGCAATGGATAATTGAGGCAAGCAATGAATAAGATAAAACGACAAAGCGGTTGCTTTGAGAATCAGATTTGAGGTCTGGAGGTTGATTGGAGAAGAAGTTAGCGTTGGAAGAAGAATTGGAGATCCGCGGTCTTGGCGCGGAGATCTGCCAATGTACCCCAATAAGAGTCCCGAGGTCCGCATAACATGTTCTTATTTACTTTTTATATAATCCTAGAAAGAAATATCTACATAGGTACATCATTTAGTTATCTCTAACTCACAGGCCTACCGGATTAAGTTAAGGTCCCATTTCAAAGTGCTGGTTTCTAGTCTATCTTAGTTATATATATCCGTGCATATTGGCCACAGCTATAACTAGACCATAGATCATACATGATAGAGAATTCTTCGGTTTATTTTAGGTTTTCCATCATTTTTTTTTTCTGTCCGTAAAGCCGAGAACGGTGACATAAATGTAGATAAAGACATACAAAAAGGATAAGGAGACCACTAAAAAGACCACCCGAGGCAGCATAAGCGGTCGACTACATATGTATTCTTGTTTGCTCTGAGATAAAAAAATATACTTGGCAGTAGACTGCACGTCAGGGTCAACTTGGAGGTCTTCAACTGGGAGAATGCAGAGAGGCCAAAGATAGAAACATGGCCGTCAACCGCCCTTCCAAACCGTATCTGGGGGTGGTGCGCTGGGGGTCGCTCGGGCTAGTCTATATCTAAAAGGGATCAAAAGTTCCACTCAACAGCATACTAGAGCATCAATTCAATTCTGAATGGTTAGAACGCTCACTTCTGTTCCATATTGCACACTGCGAAACAACATGAAAACCTCTCCCACTCTAAACATGGGGATCGTGGCGACATTGATCTACGCCCCAATACCATCCTCGCCGGCATGGTTCCAACTCTACAAGCGGCCATTGCTGGTAAGTAACAAAGAGGTGTTCCCGTAGAAAGAGGTTCGCTCAATGCTAGAACTTATGACGTTTAATGCGTCGAAAAATGTGGAGTTCACCTTGCCCTCGAAACTGTACACGATGAAGACTTGGAAACGGGTTTATGGGCAAGGAAATTGTTGGATATGACCAGGCCTACCTAGAAAGGCGTGCTTGATGATAGCCACCTTAGCTCGGACAACTGAAACAGTAGTGGCACAAGAAACAGGCCTAAGCTGCTATAGAATAGATCTAGGCGCTAGGGAAGCTCAACTACCTGTTTTCTACTTAATAAACCTCCTTGTCTCTCTCATTCTTGTTCTACCGAAAGAAGGCCAACCGGGTCCTACAACATTGATAGGCCTCCTATTCAAATGTCCTTCATGCAAGGTCAAAAGCAATCTGTTCGGACTTGGCCAACACGATCGTGCCTATGGCCAAACAATATACGTTAGTCTCAATTCTGCTTCTGCTTTCATTAGTCCGTTCACCTAAATGACCATTCCACTTCTTCTTTCTTCGTTTAGGATAACAGCCTCTGCGCTATTTCCCGCTGCCTGGACCCTTGCAACATAGGGATATATTGACAGAATACAGACTTGTTTTTCATTTTTCAAGTATATCAAAGATAACAGTGCTTTTGCGACACAAGTACTAACTTTGAAGCTTAGTGAATCGAGGGCATTCTGTACTGAATTATGCAGGCATGATTTCAAGCAACTAATAAGTGGTTACAACAAAACCTCATATATTCCATTGCATTGAGACAGGGACAATATATTCAATCACCCCAATTTACTGCGCTTCTATAACGTGGATACGATGGCCATATTGTCACCCTCAATGGCTCTATTAGCGTGCTTAGTTACACTTAGCGAGCACAACCTTGGAAAGCAGCAAGCCCTGGGCACCAAAATGGAAAGGAGCGCCAACAAATGGCGGAGGAAATCCAGTACTAATGTATCAATCTTGGAAGAAGAGTTGGTAGTCACTTGGATCATTTCCCCAAGTAGTCAGATGTTAGTGACGCAAAAGCCCCCAAGTTCAATCTGGGATCTCCTAGATTTTACTCTAGATAGTGTTTATAAATGCCATATAGACTATCAAGGGCTGAATGATCTATACAACAAAGTGAACCGGCCGATGCAAGATATAGACGTGTAAATGAGGCTGAATATGCTTTGATCGGGTATGTTACCTAATAGACATATAAGTCATTACTGCCTCATCTGGTCTCATTCTATGTAGGGTTATAGGAGAAAGGGAAGCCCAAAACTGGGCAATATCTTCGCGTTAGGAGCCCTAGAGATCTCGTAAGGCTTCGTTCATTACATAGCAGCCCTTCATCCGTACGGAGTAGAGGTGTACAATTGCACATGTGCGGATTATTTCCAAATAATTTTTGAGCAAGCTTGAAAAGTCCGAAATAAGTGACGGTCATATGAGGACGATGAAAGAAAGTGACGAGTCACTTCCAAAGTTGTTAGTTCAACGCTGGCGCCCCCCTTCCTCATGATTATGTGATTACTTGCCTAAGGCCAAAAAAAACATCTGCCCTCTCACCTAAAGAATCTGGATCATATTGTTGCCTTTTCTTGTGCCTTTCTCTTAATCTCAGACCGTAACGATAACTTTACGTTCTTCGACTTCTTCAAGTTGTCTCTGCGAAAACTTGCTGATCACATCTTGCCACTTCGCGAAACTTTTTACTCTCCGTGACACCCCCACCGCATCCCGTCGGCAGTTGCGCATTCGCCCCAAAACGCCTCAAACGCACTCCGGTTGATGGGACACGCTCCTGGTGTAGAAATTACAGCTCTTGACAAGCCCCAGAAAGTCAAAAATGGCGGCTAAAAGTGGTTCTGGGGCTGAGGCATCTGGGGTAAGTCAATTCCCGTATGTGATTAAGACTGATAACTTGAGACTAACGCGTGCTATACAGCTGGTCAACACCCTCCAGGGCCATGTCGATGATATTCGCACTCTGATACAGTGTGGTATATGCATCCGTCCCCTCTACGAACCGTTTACTATCGCCTGTGGACACACTTTCTGCTACTCAGTGAGTCTCCATACTATTTCCCATCTTGTTAATACTAGTACCTGACCAGAATTCTTCACATAGTGTCTATCATCATGGTTTGCTGGTGGAAGATCAAAACGAACATGTCCGGATTGCCGTGCACCCGTTAAGACCCAACCGGCACCAGCTTATTTGGTGAATTTCAACAATCTTCAATTCGTTTTATTGTATCTAACATACCTCTCGTGTCGCAGGTCCGGGCTGTGGTGCAGATGTTCACAGGTCGAGCTGAGCTTTTAGACAAAGGAGAAACGACTACGGAGCATTCAAAGAATCAAAGAGACGAAGCGGAAAAACTAGATCAGGACAAGGCCAATAGTCATCCAACCGAAGGAGGTCTGTTCGGGGGTCTTTTCAAGCCAAAACCTCCCCCGCCCAAACCTGTCATTGACATTGAGGACGGGGTGGTTCGATGTCCGCTCTGCTCGTGGGAACTTGAAGGGGACAGTTGCGGAGGATGCGGCTACAGATACCGGCCGGATTCCGAGGAGACGGACGACAGTGACTCAGCTGACTTCAGTGAGACCGACCTAGACTCTCTGGATGACGACATAGAAGAGGCCGAGGACGATGAGGGCGAGGGTGAGCCAGGGGAATTTGACCACTTCGACGGCATCGACGACCATGATGGCGTTTGGGGCAACTTTGCGCTTCAGTGGTATCGGCACCCCTTCCCTGCGCGCCCTAACTGGCCTCCAAGCCTCGGTACTGGCCAGCTTTTCGACCGGCTCGAAGATTTGATGGAAAGCGGACCTTTCATGCTACCAATGCCCCCAGGGGGGCCCGTGAATCATGGAGAGCACCACACCCTAGGTAACACCAATGGGAGTGAATACGACGACGAAGAAGAAGAGGAGGAGGAGGAAGAAGAGGAGGAGGAGGAGAATGAGTATGACGAGACAGACTCATTCATCGATGCCGAAAACGACCATCCGCCTACGAGTTCCTTCATTGAAACTGACCATCGTCTCGGGAGTGGCGATATGTATGAATCGGAATCAGACCGTTCCACTGGTACCGTTGTGGATGATGCTCATGGCCCGATTGGGCTCAATTACAGAAACACCACACCTTCCTTTGACGATGAGGCTTCTGATGAGGAGGAGGAAGAGGAAGTTTCAGTGGAATCGGATGAAAGAGAGGTGGCTGATGAAGAGGAGGATGAGCCTGAATCTGACGAAGACGCAATCCAGACTGCGCCGCCTCGTCGTGTTAATCGACAATATCCACGCCAGTCACCCTGGTTCCAAGCCCCCAGCGATGCTCCATGGCTTGCAGCCAGGCCTCCAATACAAATTCCCGACTCGTCCGAAGAAGAGGAATCTTCGCCACCTGTTAGGCCTGCGAGATCTAGTGCGCGCCGTTCCACCCAGCAGGGGACCGCTCCTCAGAATGTGATCACACTCGATGATTCCGACGAAGATCAGCCTGTCGGTCCAGTGAGAAGAGCGACACAGAGAAGACGTGCAAGATTTTCTCCATATTAAAAAAAGTTGTTCGAACCGCGGACACCGTATTTGCTCTCGCATTTTATCAGCCTACTTAATGTTTTCTTTTGACTTCAGCGCGGCGCTTGGGTACTGCTAAGAGGACTGTGGACATGGTTGGCGTTTAGTCTTCATTTTGATATTCAAAAAGAAGGCATTTTTCTCTTTGATTCCCCCTTTGATGCCTTCAACGGCTAGGTCCTATCTTCATGCTTTGTTTCTTACCGGTTCAGCCGTACTCTACGAATACCCCTACTTATCCTTTCTCGATTCGATCTTGATCTTTTGTTGCCCTTTGCCAGTGAAGTTGAAGAACCTAGTCTCTCGGTATTCAATAAAGTGTGGCTACAGAATCCATCATAAAATCCACGAAAGCCACCAGGCTCTACTATGTTAAGGTCTTACTTCATATTGTATTGTCTCGCCAAACTAGTAAAGCACGCCATCTTGCTTCGTAGTGCCACTGCTAATACGGGACTATATGTACCTACAACAAATAGTCCACGAGTCCATCCAGAGTAAATCATCTACCCTATTCACAAGCAGTAGTAAACCGATGAGAACAGCCAGCAAACATCTCCACATGGTGTAGATCCGAAAATTGTTGGAAGTTTTGGGATAGTTATTGGGCTGAAACGAAGTTGCGAGATTAAAGAAGCGAAGTCATGTATAGACGTGTGGGGACTTGCCAGCCTTTTTGATCATTTACTGAAATCACAAATATTGCTTGAAAGAGGGATATGATTGAATACTTCAATGCACCGAAGATATCCGGCACATATGCAAAAATGGTAAAATACACAGATGTGACTCCAAATACACCTGACCCCGAGCAACGCTCCCCATTTTACTCTCGGCCAATGACCAAGATCGAGACAGAAGATTATGAACAAAATTTATACATCATGCCTTCGCGGTGTCATTAGTAACAAACGGAACTTCGAAGACAACAGCACCATTGCGGCCTCCCGATGTGGTGCCCTCATAGAAATTGTTGTTGAAGCACTTCCAGCGAGCCAACCGGTGCTCCTTGCCGACAGCGGCGACGATAGACAAACCACGAGGTTCCTGCTCGGTCTCAGACTTATGCTTTTCGGCACCAGGCATATCAGATTCAGGACGTCGTTCGAAGACCGCGATGTCGTTGATGACACCCTTAATCAAAGGCTCTGGCTCTTTTTGGTCCGCCGCAGGGGTGGCATCGAGAGCAAGAGTCTGGTTGAGTTGCTGCGAGGGTGTCTCTGGTGCTGTTACGGTACCAGGCAAGCCTGCACCGATGGGACCCAGGGCGATAAGTGTCTTCTTATCTTCTGAAACACGCCATGCGCGGATGAAACCGTCCCAGCTGCCACTGAGGACAACGTCAGTACCTGGTAGAGTGGCAAGTGCGGTGATCCAGCGAGGCATGGGTCGCATGTGGCGCGTATTGTGGGCGGCAGTCGCCTCGTCTGTCTCGGGTGATAACACATCCAGAGGGGGGATCGGGTCCAAGCCGTGAGCAAGACGGACGGTGTAGAGTGGCTTCTTCTTGTGAACCGACCAAAGGCAGAGGGAGCCGGAATCTGAGCCAGTGACGAAGTGGGTGGGTGGAAGCGGTGCAATACAGTCGATGTTGCTCTCGTGGTAAGGGGCGTTTCTGGAGGCGCCGCCACGGAATACGAGCTGTGTTTCCTCGACAACCTTCCACAAGCGGGCGGTGCGATCCCGAGCACCAACACTGACACATTCATCAATGGTCATGGCAGCAATCCCGGTGACGTGATCCTGGTGGCCGAAGAGTGTTTCAACGTAGGCGTGGCCCGCTCCGCTGATAGACCATGTCTTAATTGTGCGGTCGTACGAACCGGAGAACAGCTGCTCTCCGGAACTCATAGTTGAGATGTGGCGTGCAAACGACAAGGTGCAAACCGAGTCTCGGTGGTGCAAGAAGGTCTTGCTCGGTGTCAAAGTTTCTGCGTCCCAGATGATAAGTTTATTATCCGCTCCACCAGTAGCCACGAATTTTCCAGAAGGCGAGACAGCAACAGACAGGATGCTTCCTGTGTGTCCCTGATCCTCGCCTGATTCACCAACTTTGCGCATACCCCGAGCGTACTTCACACGCTTGGGCTTCTTGCGCTGGGGACGCGGAGGCCGCTTGGAAGTATCATTATCCCCGTTCGATTCTGTAGAGCCTGGTACACTAGGCGTAGCCAATTCCCACTTAGTCAAAGTCTTATCCTTTGAAACAATGTATACAAATGGCGGGTGGACTGCGATAGCAGTGTTTGACTGGGTATCTGAGCGGAAAAAGGAATGGGGCGCCGTGGGAACGGATAGTTTCGCAGCGATTTGACGGAACGTCCGTCCCTTGAACTCGTCAATGTCTTTCTTCAATCGTTCCGCAATCAAGTCTCGGTCGATATCTGCGGCATCAAATCCAGCTTCGTCGACTTCTTCTTGGATATTACCCAGGTAGCGTTCAGCGAGTTTCAATCTTCGGTCCGCCGCGGTTTCGCCGTCTTCTGAGTCCGATCCACTTTCGTCGCCTGACTCTGCCGTATCGATTGCGGCATCTTCATCCAAATCACTGCCTGAGATTGATTCTTCTCTCTCTTTGGTGCGTCGACCACCGTCGGCTTTGGCATCTACGCCTCGCTTTTTTGATCCTGGGGCTCCGGCGCGGTCGTCTCTTTTCCTCTTGCGCTGGGAATTGGGTACAGTGAAAAATGACGACATTTCGACGTTTCGTCAGGCCTGTCGATTATCGATTTCTGTCCAAAGAAATCAAATATATGGCGTTCTTGAAAGACTCGGACTGCGGAGATCGAAACTTCAACTTTTTTTTGGCAGAAAAAAAAGCGCTAAGCGGCGGCTGACTCAGCATGTAGCTGACCTCACGGGAGCTCCAGGCGTCAAGCTCACCGCGCGGTCCTCCTCACTTGATCACTACTCCCCTTCGTCTTCTCTGATCATCTACTTGCTTGTTAATTTTTTTATTTATCTCTCATACCGCAAACATGTAAGTTCATGATAATCTCAGATTTATAAATGGTCACTAACAGCTTGCTAGGGAGGTTCTTTTGGGTATCGCCGGCAAGGACTTCGTCATTCTTGCTGCATCCAAGGCCGCAATGAGAGGCCCGACAGTTCTCAAGGCTGAAGATGATAAGACACGACAGTTGAACAAGCACACAGTGATGGCCTTCTCCGGAGAATCTGGAGATACAGGTATGTAGCTGCTTCTCCGACGAGATAAACAAGATGCTAATGAGATACCTATGTTAGTTCAATTTGCCGAATACATCCAAGCAAACGCCGCACTCTACAGCATGCGCAACGATACCGAGCTAAGCCCCTCCGCCGTTGCCAATTTTGTCCGGGGAGAATTGGCACGGAGCTTGCGGTCACGGTCTCCCTACACAGTAAACCTGCTGCTAGGTGGTTTAGATCCGGTCACTGAGAAGCCTCATCTGTTCTGGATTGATTACCTAGCGTCGCTGGCCCCCCTACCATATGCTGCACACGGCTATGCCCAGTATGTTTCATGACCCGTCATGACGGACGACACGAAATTCCAGGCGAGAGATAGCTAACACAGATTCTGCTAGATACTACTGCCTCTCCATCCTTGACAAACACCACCATCCCGACTGCTCCCTCGAGGAGGGCCTTGCGCTCCTCACCCTGTGCACAGACGAACTGAAGCGCAGACTTCCAATTGACTACAAAGGAGTAAGTTTTTTGAAGAGCCATCTTCAAATGCTGATATTCTGACACAATTATCATAGATGCTGGTGAAGGTCGTGACAAAGGATGGTGTGAAAATAATTCCCGTGGACAACGACAAGGTGGTCCGGAGTGCTTGAAGGTCGACATACCACGGCGTTTGTTGTATCACATCTTATGACGTTTTTCTTTGATTCCAAGATAGTCGAACGGTCGACATGATTTAGGCTGTAGTAACTTTGGAATTCAAGTAAGGAGTATATTACTAGATAGTGAATAAACAATAGGCAAATACAGCCCTATAGACTCATCGAAATGGGCATTTTGCGTAGAATGTCCATGGGTACTCCGTACACTGCTTGGCATTTGCCTGACTGCGGGTGTTTGACTTGTTTGCAACCGAGTCGCATCCCGAGCTCTCAGAAAGTTAAGAACTCCGCGATCACCAACTTTTTCGATCCCAACCCATCTTACAATGTCCAAAAGACACGCAGAGCTCCCCTTGGAGCAAGACTTCTCCGGATCACCTGTATCTAAAAAGGCGCGTGTTGAAGACGACAACGATGCCGATTTTCGCAACGGCGCAGTGCCCGCATTGCAGAGCGAAGAGCTGGGACAGGATGATCGCAACGATGTGGATATCCTAGGAGCAGCTCAAATTGAAGCAGAGGAGCTTGAGGAGGCTGAGAAAGATCCTGGGCTCTTAGATGTTGACGAAGATGCGCCTGTACTGAGCGCCCCGAGGCGGCAAAACGCTCCCATGGAAGGCTATGGCGACCTATACCTCGACACAATCAACCGTGAAATCCTAGATTTCGATTTCGAGAAGCTGTGCTCCGTCAGTTTGTCAAACGTCAATGTGTATGCATGCCTCGTCTGCGGCAAATACTTCCAGGGTCGTGGTCCCAAATCACATGCGTACTTTCACGCCCTTGAAGTTGGACACCACGTCTTCATCAACATTGGTACAAAGAAGGTCTATGTCTTGCCCGAAGGATATGAAGTCAATAACAAGAGTCTGGAGGATATCAAGTATGTGGTTGATCCACACTACACAAAAAGCCAAGTGGTCAAGCTCGATAAGGAAGTGCATGATGCCTGGGACCTTTCTGGGTCTAAGTACAGACCAGGTAAGATCCTGTACCATGACAATATCTGGAAGGTTTCTTTTGCTAATTAGTCTCTCTAGGGTTCGTCGGCATGAACAACATCAAAGCCAACGACTACGTCAATGTAGTAGCTCAACTACTGGCACATGTTTTGCCAATTCGCAACTTCTTCCTCCTCCATGACTTCCCCACGCCAGGCACACCAGAGATAATTCTTCGCTTCAGCACGCTGGTACGGAAGCTATGGAATCCTAAGGCGTTCCGGTCACATGTGTCTCCGCACGAGTTACTACAGGAGATCGCCGTACGATCCTCGAAACGTTTCACACTCACAAACCAGGCTGATCCCGTGGAATTTTTGTCTTGGTTCCTAAACACCCTGCATCTTGCCTTGGGGGGCGCTAAGAAGCCCTCACCAACACCCACAAGTGTCGTTCACGCAGCGTTTCAGGGCCGTGTACGGATCGAAAGCCAAGCTATCACCGCTCACTCCGACACCCAAAATGCCCGTTTGGTATTCACCGAATCTGCCACAATCAATAGCCAGATTACCCCTTTCCTCATCCTCACACTGGATCTACCCCCCACGCCCCTCTTCCAGTCTTCCAGTAGGGAGTCTAGTATCCCACAGGTCCCCTTGACTACCCTGTTAAACAAATACAACGGCTACACGGCATCAGAGAAACTGGCCCATCGTGTCCGACACCGTCTCCTCCACCCTCTTCCTCCCTACCTTTTCTTCCATATCAAGCGCTTCAGCAAAAACCGCTTTGTCTCTGAGCGAAACCCAACTATCGTCACCTTCCCCTCTCCGCACAACTTGGATATGTCCCCCTATGTCGAGCCAAATCCCAATGTTTGGTCACCTAGCGAGCCAATCCTCTACGATCTTGTCGCAAACATCATCCTTGACCCCGCTATTGCCGCACCCGGTGAAATGGATGATGCTGCGGACAAGGGCGTTAACGCTGCGTCGGGATCCGGTGGTTCATCCAGCGGAGCAGGCGGCGGAAGCAAGAAGGTGTCATGGCTTGTTCAACTTCACGATAAAGCTATGGAAGCTGAAAACGCTCGCGCCAAAAACAGCGGTTCCACAGAAAAGCACCAACAAGGCCCAGAGTGGCTTGAGATCCAGGATTTGTTCGTCAATCGGACGGAAAGTGAGACGCTTTTCACTCGTGAGGGATATCTTATGGTCTGGGAGCGTCGCAAGGTGCCAGGGAACAAAGGAAAGGAGCGTGCTTGATCTAAGCTCGCATATGTCTTGGTTCTTATCTCTGAAAGCAAATCCAATGTACCATCAAATAATGACGAGAATATTATTTTTTATCTATCTATTCCAGTGCAGTGTACGGTAAACAAGGGAATTATTAGAGTACGTGTAGCACCAGAAGGGAAAAGCCATGGAAAAATAATCTACGTACTTGCTGGAGAACCTCACGTCTTATAGCTAGAACCTTGGGATAGCTAGAGATGGCTATTAACCTACCATCACCTATATAATACCAGATCAAAATTATGTGACTATGCCTAGACATCCATGTCTTCTGCTCTACAACGAGGAACGGGACTGAAAGGCCTAAAGGTCAGCATAGAAATATAGTACCCCAAGCAGCCCTAAAATGATATGTCTTGGTAACGTTAGACGTGTAACACTCAAAAATCGCGGAAGTGCACAGTGCGCAAGTGAGGAAGTAAATGTACAGAAGTGTCATACAAGTATGCCGAGTCGTTAAGATACGTACATCGCGGAGTGACATTGATAGGTATTGATTGGTCGAAAAAAACAAGTATTCATCACAAGGTTCCCCAGCCGCAGAATTTCTTCCCTATCCTCATTGTCGAGCCCACCAGGAACCCCCAGATCCCCGCTCTCATCGCGACTTGCATTCCTCTCATGAGTACGAGTCGGCAGGAATAGGCATACATATCTGGCCAGGTTCTTCCGCCAAACCAAAGACCCAACGGATGGACATCTGAGAGACGGGTAATAGAGGACGGGTGTGATATGATCCAAGATCTGGTCAATGAGCGAAGGTAAAGTGCTTCAAGGGGCGCGAGAATGATGCCGCTGATTGCAGCAGCGAGATGAGACGCGAGGGAGTCCACTGGATATGCTGAAAGAAGGGTGACGCGGTGGACATGCGAAAATGAGTTTGTCAATTGTCCGGGAATAAGAGAAGAGGGTAGAATTGGCTGGACGAGGGTGTCGGATTGGGTGTCTTCATTATTACTTGTATCTCCGACACGGTTTGATTCATTGGGGGGCACTTCATCGTTCGGTTCTTCCACTCCATCTGGGAGAATGTTTGGAACAATGGACCCTAGTGCTTCCTCAATTGACTCTAAAGTTGGAGCGTCGGTGACTTGGGTTTCCGAAGCCGGAATTTGTGTGTCCAATTCAGCGACACCTGAGTCCTGGGGCGTTGTGATAGATTGTCCAGCAGTGATACTTGAGAGGCCGTCCGTATCTGTTGCCGCTAGGGGCTGCTGTTCCTGCCGTTGGGCCTGACTTAATATCAGAGCCTCGAGGAACTCGGCTATGGATCGTCTGTCCATAGCGTTTAGATTTGAATTCGATCCTGGCACATCCCTGCCCGCTAGTGCACTCAGCTGGGTAGGATTTGAAGCCTGGATTTGCGGGTGACGATTCCGGTTGCTCAGCAGTTCAAGTTGCATCGTGATAACATCGGAGCTCTGGTGAATCAAGGATGCTCGTACACGAGGTGATGTAGGAGGCGATGATTCTGGCGATGATGGACGAGAAACGAGAGTATTAGATCGCGAGTTCTCTTGGTCCATAGCAAAATCCTCATTATTTGGCGAATGGGCTGTTTGGCCCTGCGGGTTTGGGGTTTCCGAGATACGACTGGATTGTCCAGCAGTAGCCATCTCGGAGAAATAGTCATTGCTCATTTCCCCAGGCGATTGAGACATACGATTTTCATTTGTAAGCACCTGGTTCAACCCAATGACCGATTCTGCCTGGGTCAAATGTGTGGGTCGGTTTGCATCCTGTGGCCGCGGTCGTGCTTGTGATGCAAAAGCGGCAGCCTGGGCATCGGGAGTGATCCCTGGCGGTCTAGGCACAGGATCATGTGGCCCTTCTTCAGCAACAAGATTGACTCCGTCAAGTTCGTTTTGCAATAATTCGATCGAATTGCGTAGATTTTGGATCCTCTCGTCTCTAAAGGTTTGGAGAGCTTGCTGCTCCGACAATTGGTTCGATCTCAGTCCAAAAAGCGACGATACCCAGCCTCGAAAAATGGTAAGTTCAAACTTGATGTCCTCGAATAGTGTGAGCTTTCCGCGATGTAATTCTTCGTCTGATCTGCGGCCCAGGGTGGGCACTACCCACTCTATCAGGTTTTCCTCGAAGGCAACGCGGACTGAGAGTTCATCAGGAAGAGATGGCTTAGGTAGGTGTCGTCTGATCAACCGATAGATACGCTCTTCAAGCTCTGGCCGCAAGTAGTAGCCATAGAGGAACACTAAGGTGCCAGGGGAGGTCAACAATTGCACGAGCGAAGTCCCCAGTGAGCGAGGAGAGAAATCAGTGGGCAAGGGTGGCAGCTGTAGCAAAGAATCTCTGCCGAAGGGAAGCAGAAATTGGGCGCCGGGGATGCCATATGGAGATACAAGGGAAAGAGATTGGAGTGTTGAGTACATGTAGAATTCCATAGACAACATGAGCACAGAATTTCTCGCCCTATATTCATAATTAGTTGATCTGGCTATTTGAACTGACGATGAATATACTCACACTGTATAAAGAAGCCCGAAAAGAGAACGAACACCGAGTGAGTCGCCTGTCAAAGACTGGACATAGTCCCGGAGAGAGACAAACACCCGTTTCAGCGGGGTTTCACGAGCTATAGCTAGCCCACTGGACATTGCCCAGGCAGGAATACCCGAAAAGTAAAAGCTAATAATTCCTGTAGTGTCTCTCTCAGACTGTATGACGTTGAGTAATGCAGAATGGGCATAATGCCGGTAAGACTAAAATGCAGTCTCAGATGTCAGTCCAATCGACATCTAGAGTAGTCGGTATTGCATTTACCTGTACGCGACCAGTGACCGAAGAGGTCCACCAGGTACCAAAAAAGATAAACAGTTGATCGAGAGTGGTTATGACCAGTCCGAAGTCATTTTCACTCGCAATCTGGTTGATCTTTTGCTGTTCATTAGGGATACTAGAGTTTCGGTCTTCTCCACTGACGACAATTCCCATTGTTGAAAGAATGTCATTCTTTGCTCTCCGGAGTTCTTTCCCGAGGGCTCTGGATTCAGGATTAACAGGGTGCCCGCGAGTGTCATATTGCTGCATATAATTGTCTGCATAGACGCTGGAGATCCGCCTGACTGGATTAGAGGGGTCAACCGCCGCATTATCGGGGGCTTCGTATGGGGACCGGCCCTTGAAATCAGTTAGTATAATATACTATCCAGGTTGTGACTAAGCTCAATTAGGCATTCATATATGGTAGGAGGTGTTTGTGATGGGTTTGTATATCCGGACAGAAACAATGAGACAGGGCCCAGGTGGTGACTGGTTCAGTTCCAGAAGAGTTTAGGCTTCTCCAGATAAAGCATGATCCATCGTCACAGGCCATAGACCCAAAAATTCTCAACTACAAGTATAGGGAAATTTCGCGCGTAGAAGGATGAAGCTTACCAAAGCGAGCCGGTTCAAATAAGCCTGTCGACCCATATCGTGTAAGGTCACTAGGCTAGTAATGTAGTCACATCACCATTTAGTACATCATCTAGTACAAGACCAGAAGCTGTGGATTCAGAAGTAACAAGCGATGGAAGCACAGACGAAAGTCCACGGTTGAACATGTGGCTATGGACAACTGACTTGGCCTGAGGCATGCGCGATATCTTATCATCAAACAAACAGTGCAAACATCAAAAAAAGTTGCCCGCTCGAGCTGCCGTTTTTTGCGATCGTTCAATTTCTACGGCTCTTCGACTGGCCAATGGCGTGCTAAATTCTACATTTTTACGCCGAGATATTATAGAGTCATGTCGAAAGCTATTGTCAAAACCACTTTCGAGGCGTCCCGCACGCTCCGCCCCATTTACACCGGTGGTAGCACCGCACTGGATGCCAGTGGGCGCATCTTGCTGAGCTGCGTTGGCGAGGATGCCTTGATCGTCGATTTGGAAACTGGTAACCAACTTGCTAGCCTAGAGGGGGTATGTGTTGTTGTCTGGGAATATTCGTCGATTGCAAAGCGCTAACCACATAAACACTACAGGATGGAGAAATTGTCACAGGTTTGGCTAGTAAGTATTCTATGCCCTAGGAATGAGATTAAAACACTAATAACTCGCCTAGTCACGCCTTCCGCCTCACACGCTATTGTCTGCTCGCGCTCGATGTCCATGCGGATCTACGGCCTCCCAGATTTCGACGAGACTTCCCAGACCATTGAAGCAAAACTTCTCCGAACCCTTAAGCCTCACACAGCTCCTGTTGTGACCATTGCTGTTGACCCTACTGGCACACTGCTCGCTACTGGTGGTGCCGATGGCTCAATCAAGGTCTGGGACATCCGAGGTGGTTTTGTCACTCACACTTTCCATGGTCATGGTGGTGTCATTTCTGCGCTTTGCTTTTTCGAGGTTCCTACTGCCGACAGCGATGCCAAGTCATCAAAGAAGAACAAGTCTAAGCAACAGGCTACGGGGGATGATGATGAAGATATGGAGGGCTCCGCTCGTACGGGTTCCACTGCAGGATTCCGCCTAGCATCTGGCAGTGAAGATGGCAAAATGCGGGTATGGGATCTGCACAAGAGAAAGTCCATTGCGTCGCTCGAGTCACATGTTTCACTTGTCCGCAGTTTGTCCTTTTCTCCGTCAGAGAACGCATTGATCTCAGCAAGCAGAGACAAGACTGTCATCGTCTGGGATGCGCGTACTTGGAAGACTCGCAGAATCATTCCTGTTTTGGAGAGCGTGGAAGCCGCGGCTTTCATTGCGGATAGTGGACTGTGCGTTATCGGTGGAGAAAATGGCAAACTGCGAGTTTGGGACTGCAATCGTGGAAGCGAGATCACAGAGGAACAAGAGGCCGGAGAGGAGTTCGAAAGTGTCGTTGCTATCCAGTATTCGCCTGGCTTACCTTTTGTCCTCACCGTCCATGCCGATCAGACTCTCCGGGTTCACTCGCTCGAGTCGCTGTCTGATTATAAGCCAGGGTCAACTTTGAAGCCCCTGGCGGTTATTCGCCGCATTTCCGGCAATGATGATGAGATTATTGACCTGGCTTACATTGGACCTGATCGATCGATGCTTGCTTTGGCTACCAACACCGAGAGCATTCGTGTAGTTTCGGTTGCTCCTTCGGAGGACCGACCATCAACACAAGGAGAGGAGTACTTTGGTGCTGATGTCACACATCTGGAAGGCCATGACGATATTATTATTTGCATTGATGCAGATTGGTCAGGACACTGGCTAGCAACTGGCGCCAAAGATAACACAGCCCGTCTTTGGCGTATTGACCCGAAGACATCCTCTTATACTTGCTTTGCTATTTTCACTGGTCACGCCGAGTCATTGGGAGCAATTGCCCTTCCGCGCGTTCCACCTCCTGTTGGCAGTGCCGCATATAACGACCCCGCAAACCACCCACCAGCATTCCTAATTACTGGATCGCAAGATCGCACAATCAAGCGATGGGATACAAGCAAATTAGCCCCTCTGACAGGAGAAAAGCCACACCACCCTAAGGCATTCTATACTCGCAAGGCTCACGAAAAGGATATTAATGCCATTGATATCGATTCTACATCTGAATTGTTTGCTTCTGCATCACAAGATCGCACCGTGAAGATCTGGGCCGCCGATGAAGGCTCGACGGTTGGTGTTCTACGTGGCCACAAGCGAGGTGTTTGGTCGGTGCGATTCGCCCCACAAGGCACACCGATCGTCAACTCGGATTCACGTACCAGCACGAGCCGTGGCCTAGCAGTCACAGGCTCAGGTGACAAGACCGTCAAACTGTGGAGTCTGTCTGACTACAGCTGTCTCTTGACTTTCGAGGGCCACACCAACAGTGTTCTCAAAGTCCTCTGGCTCCCACCTCCCCAGGTCTCGAATAACCAAAACGACGACGAGGAGGATGACGAAGAGGCTGCAGCAGCACGCAAAAACGCCATCCAAGACCGTCCTCTTATCGCCTCCGCCGCCGCAGACGGTCTGGTGAAGATCTGGTCCCCCTACACAGGCGAACTTGAAACCACCCTGGACAATCACATCGACCGAGTCTGGGCGCTTGCCAGCCCAACCCCATCCGGCTCACGTGCAGACGTGAAGCCAATCACATCCAAGTTCAACACCACTCCCTACGCCATTGCCTCTGGTTCTGCCGACGCAACAGTGACCTTCTGGACTGATACTACATCATCCACCTATACAGCCGCTGTCAACGCCAGCTCTGCTCGTGTCGAACAGGATCAAGAGCTGCAGAACTACATCCGCGCCGGGGCCTACCGCGAAGCCATCACTCTAGCCCTGCAACTCAACCACCCGGGTAGGCTGCTCTCGCTCTTCACCTCCGCTATCAACGCCGCAGACGACCCAACCGTCCCGGCCGAGGATCGCGAGCGTGCTGCAGCCAGTCTGTCTGGTAACCCGTCCATCGACGAGGTCCTGCAGAACTTGGACCCTGCTAATCTGCGCACTCTCCTGCTCCGTCTGCGGGACTGGAACACAAATGCACGCACATCGCGCGTGTCACAGCGCATCCTGTATGCTCTCTTCCGCTCTTACCCTGCGTCCACTTTCGTGGAGCTTGCGACACAGTCCGTCCGTGGAAAGGAAGGTCGTGCCGCGGCTGGTATGAAGGATATCTTGCAGGCACTGGCTGCGTACACTGAAAGACACTACCGCCGAGTTGAGGAGCTGGTCGATGACAGCTACCTGGTGGAGTGGGTTCTCGGTGAGATGGATGGTGGTGTTGGACTTGTTGGACTGCATGATTTGACTCTGGGCGATGTCAGTGAGGAAGAGCATGAGAAGGACGTTATTATGTTGGAAGCATAGTTTGGCTTTTAGTCTTTTGCCTTGTTTGTACATTGAATTTGGCGCTTTCGTTCTTGGAGTACCACGGGTGGGAAGGATAAAAGCCATCTCTTTATAGAATTGAACAGTGTATCGTGGAAAATGTTCTTTGGCTGAATCCATTTATTTTAATTGTTCAGGGTATCTATATTTGAGTCTCGTAGAATAACTAGCTGGAGGGAATATGTAGCTCCAGAGAGGTGGCAATTTTTGTCCTGTACATTGGCGTCAATGCCCTTCAATCGCCTAGCAAAAACACCCGGCCTCTAATCATCGCGATGACTCCGACGAGAGTCGCGATCACGGTCTCGGTCATTCCGAGATGAGTGAGACGAGTGCCGCGAGCTACTGTATCTCTCGTCTCGAGATCGATGGCTGCGATCCCTGTCCCGCTCTCGATCTCCATCTCTCCTCCGGTCGTCCTTATAATCATCACGGTCCCGGCGACGATCCCGGTCGTGGTCTCGATCCCGATAGGAACGATCGTCCCGTCTGCTTTTGTTGTCATCATCATATCGAGAGGAACGGCTAGAAGATTGGCGGCCACTAGAACGACTGCGGTCACGCCGAGAGGACCCAGTCTTCCGGCTAGAACGATCCTCGTCGTCGTCGTAGTCGCGTTTGCGGTATTCGCGGTCTCGATCTTTCTCCCGACCGCTCTTCTCAAGGTTGCGATCCCGTCGCTCCCGCCAGTCGTCTTCCTTGGGAGGCTTAGATTTGGACTCCTTTAGTAGAGCAGCGAGTTCCTCTTCGGTGAGGGTCTCGCCGGTTTTCTTATTCCGCATCGTAACAGGCATATACACGCCCTCGGCCTTGTCGTCAGCATCTCCTTGTTTCCTCGACGCCTTGCGCATAGCCGCTTTTCCCCAAGCTCCAAGCTCGGTTTCGGCTCCTTTACCGCCGGATGTATCCTTTGCGCCAATGCCGAGGAACCCAGGTCGTCGTTCTGGGACACGAGGGTTTTTTGCTCTCTCTGCAGCTGTGGCACTGCTGTAGTTGCCTCTTCCGATAGTTTGACCATCCTTCCAGCCCATTCCTCGTAGCAGCGCAGCACCAAATTCCTCAACAGGAATAGCATTGTAGGCGTCCAAACTAGCAGGCTCAGGCCGGGATGCCACATCTGTTCTGAAGGATCCAAGCTCGTTATATTGTGCTGGTGCTTGTTCGTCGCCTCCATGCTTAGCAGATTCAATCACAAGGTCTGACCTCCGTTCATTTTCACCCGTGGTTTCCCGAATCAGCGCCTGCATGGCAATCTCGTCCTCGGTGAGGGGCTTTGTCTCGACGGGTTTCGCATCAGGCATGGCCTGGTCTTCGTCCACTGCTGTGGCACGATCTGCCATTTCTGCAGATTGCTGCGCGAAGCTCAACCCGTATGCCATACTAGGCATATCTGTCTCTACTGTAGGCTCTCCGGGGGGCGCTTGTCCGTTTTTTTGCGCTTCCTGCATAGCCTGCACTTCGCTAGGTAGCAGATTCTTGCTTTTCTTCACGCCGGCCCGGTCGCGCCAGTTATTCTTGCTCGTGACGGGGATGATCAGTGGCTTCTTTCCGTCCGCGACTGCCTGTCCATCTGCGGTAATGGCGGCACCTGTGTGGGTGTCGAACCCTGAGATTTCCTCGTGGACCGGAGGAGCCTCCTCTTCGTCAGAGTCGTCGGCATAACCGAGTTGGTGAGGTCGCCTAGGCAGGGACCGGGTGTTTGCTGGAGAATGTGTAGAACGGCCGCGATTTGAGGATTGGATGCTAAAACCAGTCTTTTTCGAAGGACCATTTGAACTGGATAAAGATAGAGAGATTGGTTTGGACGGCGATTTCCCGCCCTCATTATGATCGCGCGAAGACATCGCGATGATATTTGGTTTGAACTGAAGTGCTTAGTAGGGAAGAGAGAGCTCGAGGCGCAATTGATACCTGCAAGCTCATGGGCGGTGGCAAAATTGGAAGCGCGCGGCTAAATAGGCAGGTTTTATATAGACGGCGGTAATCCAACCTACTCTCCCCAACTCTACAACTCAGAATATTCATTGTGTGGTTCTTGACCACAAGTTGAGTGTCTGATGAAGTCCCATAGCCAAATGTAAAATCCACGCAGCTCATTATAATATGTGAAATCCTGTTACAAAAACCACCTTTCATGGCGCAACAGATATTCACCAACACAACACCTTTGTTGACATCGGAACTCTGCAATCCGAAGCAACGAAAGAGAATAGGCTTCTAAACAAGGGGTAGTGAAGATCAGGATGATCTGGGCCCAATCAGGAACTTTGGACGTATTCGTAGTTCGATTTCCTACCTCAACCTCCAGCTTCAAATTTGGTTGACATCGCTTCTTGGTTCAAGTAGTACATGGAAATGAACTACACAAGAGCCACTAGATTGGCCAAGGGATGAGTTTAATATTAGATTACTCCACGGTCCCGTTTTGTAGTCCACTCTTTCCAGGACTATCATTAGGCAAGCCTGTTTCAAGACATCTACCATATAGCAGTAGAGCACAAATATTGGCTTTTTATCACACCGGATGCATAATAGTAGTAATATTTCTAAAAATATGTCAAACAGACAAGCATCATAGAACGAAAGAAGCATAATTCAAGTAGACCGGAGATGCCCCACATGGCGTATTCGTACAAAAATTCCCCGATTGGGAATCTAGAAATAGCCCTACAACATAGATGTATAACAGCATTAAACATTAATAAGTCCCTATAAATCTCACCTTTCCCTTTGAATAAATAATATACTCCTGCTGGTATCACTAATATGGATATTGTTTTTCACCCCGGCAAAAATGGAACTGATCCTTGGGTAGAGTTCTATCCCTACACGCCATCTGCCACGGCCGGGTATGCCTTTATGGGTATCTTCGCGGTTTCGACCCTTGCTCATATCGTGCTGATGTTTCCATTTCATGCTGCCTATTTTATTCCACTGGTACTAGGCGGGATTTGTATGTTAATAGTCCTCTCACAAAACAGGGAAAATCAGGGCTAAAGATGAATGAAACCAGGCGAGACATTCGGCTACTACGGCCGAGCATGGTCACACCAGTCTCGATTTGAGATCAAGTCGTGGACCTTGCAGGAGATACTCATTCTATCTGCACCACCTCTTGTGGCAGCCACAGTCTATATGGTCCTCGGCCGCATTGTCAGTTCCTTGGGCGCTGAACATCTTTCAAGCATGCGCCCCAAATGGCTCACGTTTGTCTTTGTTATGAACGATGTGCTCTGCTTCTGTACACAACTGGGGGGTGCGGGTGTCCAAGTTACCGGGGATGAGCAGGTGATGAGAATTGGCAAAAAGGTCGTTTTAGCTGGCTTGATCTTCTCGTTGGTTGTCTTTGGCTGTTTTATCCTAATCGCGGCCAAATTTCATCAACTTCTACGACAAATGCCTACACCCATTATCAAGGACAACCCCGATCTGCCCTGGCAGCGACACATGTGGGCAATATACATTTCTTGCTTTGCATTGATGCTGCGAAATCTGGTGCGGACTATTCAATTTGGAGCCGGCCAGAAAACCGACGTCAACACCAAGGAGGTCTATATCTATGTTTTTGATGCCTTTTTGATGGCTTTTACCATGGTTGTATTGATCATCTATCATCCGGGTCGGCTTATCAAGAGGGCTCATCGCCTAACCAAGACTGGTATGTCCGATTCTCTAACGGGAGATGGCAATTCTGATGTACTTTTGAATGGATGTGAAATGGGCCAGAAGCCAGGTGATCACTCTGGGCGATAAGAGTTTATATTGGGTCTTCTAGGCCTCTCATTGCTAGAATAGAAATCAAGTGTTTGGATATCAAGACGTAAGAGTGATGGTCTACAAGTGTAATTCTACTGGAGTGATGGTCTACAGGTGTAATTCTACTGGACACAGCAAGCTCACTTCAAACTAATCATACAATTCATATCAATTCCTAGTAATTCATCCGCCCCAGTTTCGCCTATTCCCGATGATACAAGCCCAACACTGGTGTAAAAAGAGCCAGTGCATATCAAGTTCAAGTAAATGATGAAAATCATTTTTAACAAGCAAAGAAATAAAACACGCATGCGGTAGAGGTGAACAAATGGGGTAGGTGTAGGTGTAGGTGTAGCGCAAGAATCCGGGTCAACGGTGAACAAAATGTAGAGAATAAATCAGCGTAAGGGTTGGTGTAAGTATGTACAGACGAACGTAAAGGTGGGAGGGAAAAGGAATCTGCAAAGATGTTGCAGGGAAGGGATATGTTGAGCAAGCTCCTAGCTGGTCGCAGTAGTTTGGGCTGCCGGAGCGTGCGGGCTCTTGCTAGAACCTTGAACGGTGCCAGCTTGGGCACTGCCGCTGCGCTGGTTTTGAGGAGTGGCGCTGCGGCTTGGCAGGGGTGCAGCACCGTTCAAGGCTGGCGAGCTAGTCGGGCCAACGCGGTTTTGCTGACCAGGCTGAGGCACCCGCATCATTGGGGAGAACCCTTGGTTTTGAGGGACCTGTATGCCAGAACTACCATTCGTTTGGAAATTAGCCTCGTGGGGAACTTGGTAGTTAGCCTGAACGGCATTTGCATTGATGCTACCCGCAGCGGCATTCATTGCGGCTTGTTGGGACAAGCGCTGCTGTTGCTGCTGCTGATATTGGTTGAGTCGATCCGTGGCCAGCTTAGTCACTTGCTCCGGGGGCATATTCGGGTTCGTGCGTTGAATCTGGCTCTGAAGAGTGCTGATTTGGGGGACAACGCCGCTCGAAAGAGGATTGGGCTGGCCCATACGAGGCGATGGGGTTGAGACACCTTGTGGCGTACTACCGTGGAACGAGGGGCTCTGCATTCCCCCTTGGTTCTGGATGGCAGCCATCATAGCAGGGTTATTAGGAGTGCCATTAACATTCGACATGTTCAGGTTCGGTGATCCCTGAGACCCAAATTGTGGGTTGTGGAATTGCTGGCCCTGCTGAGGGTGCGGCTGCTGTTGCCGAGACTGGAGAAGACGCTGTTGCTCCTGCAATCGATTGGCTTCTCGAATCACGCGCGTGTTATCAGGAGAGGCTTGCATTGGCAGCCCTGGTCGTGCCCCTGGTGTTTGCTGCATTTGAGCTTGCGGCATCATCTTCATAGCCATTCCATTGGGCATCTGGCCATTGGGCTGTGCACCGTTAGGCATGTTCGGCATTGGAATGGGACGACCTTGATTGACACCAGTACTAGGAGGCATGCCGTTGGCCATTGCATTCGGAGTTCCACCTGGCAGGCTAGGATTGGAAGTGGGGGGCATGGCGTTGTTACGCCCCGGTGCGTTCATCATTTGCTGTTGGTTAGGTACTTGGCCGGAACGCTGCGCTGCGAGACTAGCCTATATGGGGGATAAGCCACAGTGCTGTCAGGTAGGGACGTTAACACCACTCACTCTTTGCTGCGCAATCATTTGCTGGCGGTACTGTTCCTGCCTTTCCTGCAGCTTCATCTCTCTGTCGTACTTCAACCGACTGAACTCAGCCGGAGACGATATCGGAGGCTTGGGCTGATTAGCCTCATTGGCCTTGCGCAATGAAGCGAGGTGGGAAGCTAAGAAACGAAAATGTCAGTAAAGTTCTTGGCACTATGTGGCCTGCTTCTATTCCAAACATACCATGCTGTTGTTTCTGAAGCATAGTTTCCCGCTTCTTGGCCAATTTTCGCATGGCATCAAGCAAAGCAAGATGCTTCGAAGATCGTCTCCGGTCAACCCGAAGAGGCTGTGTAGTCCTTCTGCGGACAGGTGGCTGAGGCTGAGCGTTGGCGCCTTGCTGCTGCTGCTGTTGTTGCTGCTGTTGCTGGGCAGCCTGCTGCTGGGCCAAAACAGTGCGTTGGGCAGTCTCAAGCCTCTGGTGGTAAGCTCGGAAGTATTGAGTTTTGGACATATCTGCAGGAAGACCTTCCAGTCCCACCCATCGCTCGAAGCATTCCCAAGGAGTCCGTCGCTCGGCGCCGGAGGTGAAGAGTGATGATGGGGTAAGACAGCTGGAAATTAAAGACCAGTTGTACGAGTACTCCTTGACCAAGCGTCGGAGTTCATCATCCTCAGCATAAGTCCATTGCGAGGATGAACGTGATTCAAAGAAGCCAACAGACGGCATCGGATGTTCAGTCGGAGGCCGGAATTGATGACCAGGGTGAATGCGATCACGGATGGGCTTATTCTCTGGGCGAAAGAGTGCAACGTTTGTCTGCTCAGGTGCCAATTCAGTGATGCGATTATCCGAATCATTCCCATACTGGGAGTAATCATATCTGCTCCGTTTGCGGGGATGATCGTCATCGTGGAAGGTAATCTTCGCCGATGCAAATTTGGTGACTGGTAGTAGTTCTGTTTTCCAAACTGTGTCAGGGGAGACTTTGAATACGGGTGCGTTGGTGCCCGGGGGGATCTGGAGCGGTCCATATATCGGCAGTTCGTCTAACAGCTTTTCAGCAGCGGGGGTCATGTCGATTGAGAAGTTGAACTCGTCTGAACCCAGAGAGAAAATAGCAGCAGGGGCGACTGTGTCATGAATGTCGTGTCGATGGTCGTCATTGAACCCATCACTGACCGATTCCTCCTCGGCAGATGGAATGAGATCAGGAGTTGGATGAGAGACACCAAACACTTCATCGGCAGCATCGTCGGAGGGTGGGCTGAGATCCGCTTTAGAGGAATCCTTTTCTGCCAGACTTGAGGTTGGAATCTTTGCTTGGACGCGAAGTAGAGTCCGATGTTCCGCGTCGCAGTTGACATATTCCGCACACCAATCGGCACAACTCTTCGCAGCGGCAATCTTCCATTTTCTCTCCTCCCGGAAGTCGGTTCGCATCCACTTCATGTGATCTAGAACAACGTCCCAGTGTGCCCCCTGGCGGGGAGGTTCAACAGAGCGTTTTAATTGTCGCAGTGGCCAGCGGTTCGCATTTTGAAGAGCATAGATACGCCGGAGGGTACGGCAATCCATCTGTTCTTGGTATTCAAGCAAATGATTGCTGGTACTCAAAGTTTTGTGCGCGGATGCCAGCAGAGTATTGAGATTCGTTCCCCTGGGAGGGGCGTACGCTCTGTTCAAGAATAATGTGAAAAGATAGTCTTGCTCCTCATTCAGCTTGGCAACCGCATCTGTGTCTCGGTGCATAAGGTCCATAGAATCAGCTTTCTCCTGCTGGGTTGGCTGCTTTGGAAACACAACAGTTGAGAGTCGACTTCTCTCCTTCTCTCGTTCCTTCCGGTCCTTGAGGCGCATTCTTGCGACAGAATCAGGAGAGCCTTGATCAGACGGGGTAGCTAGGTGGCTTCTATCATGAGCGACACTCTTCGGGGTTTCTCCGAGGATCTCGGAAACAGACTTGTGTCGAATAGCTCCGGATGAAACTCGAGTGGTCATGCGCTCTGGTTGTGTTGAGCCAGGCTGAGTAGGTGGAATAGAAAGTTTTTTGGCAGTCGGAGTCTCGACAGCTGAATCTGCAGCGGCTTCGGCTTGTGCGGTCGGTGACAATGACTCTCGCTTCGCCGCCTGGGGTTCTTGTGGTAGCTTCGCTTCGGAAGGGACAGGGGCGGGTTCCTGGTCAATATCCATGCGATCTGCGTCGGCCCCGGTGTCCACGCTCTCCACAATCACCTCTTTCGATGAAGGTATATCAGAGATCACATCATTCAAGGGCTTATCGGGTTTCGCCTGAGCTTCTTCTAGGCGCAATTGCTCGTCTGGGGTTGAGGGGACCAAGCTCAACCGAGCTTGGGCAGATCGGTCATGTTTGTGTTTTGGGCGATCAATTGCCCCAACATCCTCAGTCACTTCCTCTGCGGGGCTAGTGTCAGGTGATGCGGCAACTGGAATGGGTGTGTTATTATTGTAGGGGTCAATAGAGGAGGCGGGTGATGGTGGTTGTTCGTGTAAGGATGGCCCCAGGCTAAGAGAGGGTCGTGCTTCGTGTTTCTTTCGAAGAGAGTCGGAGGGAATCTCCAGTGACGGAACTCCAGTCGCAGCTAGCTTTGATACGCGGGGAGAGATCTTTGCGTTATTTCCGTCATGGTCGCATACACTAGGCGGCGTTTCCGCTATCGGTATACTACCTTTCTGGTCGACGCGCAATGGGTCGAGTGACTGCACAGCGATCGGAGGCACGTTGAGATCCTTTGGCAACTTAGGGCTGACGGCTGGCACTGAGGGCCGGCGTGCTCCGATTGCATCCACGGGAGAGGTTGGAAGATTAGGTGTCGTGGTGAGAGGTTGATCTAGGACAGGCGTTTCGCGCTGTTGAGGCTCGGTCGCATGCGGAACTCCACCATGAACGGTTACAGGTGATGTGACCCCAGCGACAGGTTTGGTGTTGGTAATGGCAGCTGGTGTCGGGGGGATTGCATTTCGACTTGGTGAGAGCGCGCGCGCATGGGTTGGCGGTGGAAGAGTAGCTTCATTGAAATAACGACCTCTAGATAGGACATTAGCATTGGGAAATTATAAACCGAGATATATAATTCCAAAAGGTAGATTTCACAAATAGAGTAACAAGGTGACTGGACTTACTTGGAGAGATCATTGGCGTCGAGGAAAGCCTGTTCTTTCTGGTGGTAATGGGCGTCCTCGGTCGCGCCAAACCCGACCGTGGCTAGATACAATGCGCTGAGCTTGCGCTTTCTGCGCGACAAACAGTTTCTAACCACCAAATTAGCGATAAATTCTTCATTTTCTAGGCTTCCAATTTGAATTTCCATCGCGAAAAAAATTAATACTTACGCGATCTCATCGTTTTTAGATCGTAGGAGCTCGTCACGGAGCATGGAGTCTAGCTTCGGAACGCAGCATCCGATTAACGCGGGAACAAGGGGAACTGATCGAGCGAGGTCATCCAGATGGAAAAAATCGCTCGAAAAAGATGAAAATGATGGGTGGAAGGTGGTAGGCGATGAAAAGTACCTAGAGCAGGATCTTTTTCGAAGGGGGTGAAAATGAGGTTACAGGGCGGTATGAAAAATGTGGAAGAACGGGAAGGATGTTGGTTTAGGTACAACCAGTTACTCGCTCCCTCTATAAAAAATACACGGCTTGGCCAGGTACCTGGTACTTCATAAGAATTCCCTTTGATAAAGGAAAAAAAAAAGGAAAATATTTTAATCAACTTGGGGAATGTAAGGATGTCTACTTTTAATGAACTATAATATGGTCAAAGACTTTTGTTGAAAAAGCTCACAATGGTAACGGTATTTAATTGTTTCTCCGCTTGCGTATGTGAGGCCTCAGGCATATATTAGACACCTCATATTTATGGTATTAAGGCATTAAGGCTAAAATTCCCTATCAAAAGGCGGCCGATAAACAACCGGCAGAAAATCAAGAAAAAAAGTTGTCCGCCCTCTAAGCTTTCACATCTACGATATACAAACCACAATCATTATTTGAGAGAAATCATGGTTAAACGCAAGAGAACCGATGCCCCCAAGGAGGATAAGACGGCTGGTACCCCTACCAAGGTTACCAAATCCGTTCCTACTCCCTCAGAGACTATCGATGCAGCCCTCACTATCCAAGTAGTTACAGGCTCTTATGAGCGGGTGCTCCATGGCTTCACAGTCGGAATCCCGGCTTCCAGCATGAAAGCAAAGGCTGAGGCTGACCCTTCAGCCATCCAATGCATGGATACTTTCTTATTCGAAGCCCATGGATCTGCAATTCGTTGCCTAGCATTGTCGCCACTACCTAAACCTACCGACCCTGTCGATTCTCAGAAGGTGATGCTGGCCAGTGGTAGTACAGATGAGCGCATCAACCTGTATTCTATCTCCGCTGCACCTCCTGCCGTGAATGAGGACTATCCGTCTGTGCCGACCTTCGCCGGAAACAAGATTCTTGAAAACCCCCGGAACCGTGAGCTAGGAACATTGTTGCACCACACTGCCAGTATTACCTCGTTGAGCTTCCCTTCGCGAACCAAGTTGATCGCAGCGGGAGAGGACAACTCAATCTCCATTTCCAAGACCCGTGACTGGACCGTCGTATCAACTATCAAAGCACCAAACCCAAAAATCCAAGGTCGGCCAAGCGGTGATACGGCGCCTCCTGGAGCTGCTCCATCTGGAGTGAACCACTTTGCGGTGCACCCCAGTATGAAGCTGATGTTAAGTGTTGGGCGAGGAGAGAAATGTATGAGATTGTGGAATCTTGTGACTGGCAGAAAGGCTGGTGTGTTGAACTTCACCAGGGAAATCCTCCAAGGTGTCAAGGAGTCGAGATGGAGCACTGGAGAAGGTCGACGCATTGCATGGGACTCTGAAGGAGAGGAGTTTGCTGTTGCTTTCGAATGGGGTGCAGTCGTGTTCGGAATCGTAAGTTGTCTTGAATGTATACCGTTGATCAAATTTCTGACTATTAGCACAGGACTCGATTCCCAGATGCAGAGTGATTCCTAACCCACGGAGCAAACTTCACCAGATGAAGTATGTTTCTTTGCCTTTGAAGGGCGATGAAAAGGAAGATTTCTTGGCCGTCTCTACAGAGGATGGCCGAGTGATCTTCTACTCGACCAAAGAATTGACAAAAGCGGAGGATGATACCGAATGCTCGATTCCCCATGGTACCCCAGTGGCTCAGGTTGGTGGAAAGCAAGCTGGGTTCCCTGGCCGTATCAAGGATTTCGATATCCTCACACTTGAAGGTCAAGCAAAGGAATTCCGCAATGACTTCTTGGTCGTCACCGCGAACAGTGACGGAGTCGTCCGTGTTTGGAAGGTTTCTGGGAAAGAAATTACCACAGCAAAGAAGGAAAAGAAAGATACGACTCAGGTTGGAAAGCTCTTGGCTACCAATGAAACTGGTAACCGCATCACATGCATGGCTTCCTTCGTCATGTTGCCTGCGGAGGATCCATCTACACTGATAGATTCCGAAGACGACTCTGACGAAGCAGAGTTATCGAGTGATAGTGACGATGAGTAACGTCTCATTGCTCTCAACTGTTATACCCTTTGTACTGTCAAATAGATCCCCAGTGGCAACCATTGTATCATGAGTATGAGAAGACCTGAGTCTATTGCCCTAGAAAATAATGATTATGTTTTGAAATACTTCTTTCAAGAAAATTCAAGTAATATTTTAATTACTACCATCACTGCTCTAGGTATAAACCCAGTGTGACACACCTAATTGTGTAGACATTTTAGGGGACAAGGAATTTTCTTAAGTGAATCATCCACAATGAACCCACGACACCACACACAACATTAAAACTGTATAGAATTACTTAAATAAGCGCCAATTGAATTATTATATCTAGTATATTTACTAAAACTGTTCTAACGTAGAGGAAATGTAGAGTTGCCATCCAGACACCGCCCGGCTCTCCACTACACACAATCCCCCACCTATTCTTTCATTATCATATCGCCCGCGGGAAGCAATTTTCATCGACCTTCTCACCTCCTACCACCAACGTCCGACCACCTTGTGTCTTCTTTCGACGCTACAGATCGCGAGTTGATTTTCTAAATTATTTCGCAATTATGGCTTCCAACGGTGATTTCTCCGACGAGGGATCCCAACCCGGCTCACCTTTGCTCGACGCTCACAACGCTCGCGGAGAGATCGAGGACCAGGAGCCCCTCGATCAAGAGAAGCCTCTCAAGTCTGCCATGAAGCGGGCTGAGCATGCTCCTCAACCTAAGCGTCCAGAGCTTCCGGAGCAGCCTAACCCAGAAACTCTCGACCTCTCAACATTGTCGCCTCTTTCGCCCGAGATTATCGCCCGTCAAGCTACTCAGAATATCGGTATGTAATTATGCGACTGTTAGTTTTTGAAACGTTTATGCGTTCAAAATGCACTGCGTATATTCGATTCCATTTTTCCGGGCAGCCAATTTACTAACGGAATATCAGGCACGATCGGTCACGTCGCTCAGTTAGCCGCCTTCTCTCGCCCTTTTCTTCCTATACATACTAATACATCTATAGCGGAAAATCCACTGTGGTCAAGGCCATTTCTGAGGTCCAGACCGTTCGTTTCAAGAACGAACTGGAGCGTAACATTACCATTAAGCTTGGTTACGCGAATGCGAAGATTTACAAGTGCGACAGCCCCGAATGCCCCCGGCCCACATGTTACAAGAGCTTCAAGAGCGAAAAAGAAGTCGATCCGCCTTGTGAGCGCGAAGGATGTAACGGCCGTTATCAGTTGCTGGTATGTACTCCCACCACTTCCTCTCTGAAGTCCAAACTCAGAGCCTTTCCTTGAGTGGTCCTAATCTAACTTCTCATACAGCGTCATGTCAGGTATTATTGATTCCCCAACCTACCCCCCAGCCCAGAGATTCCTTCTTTATTGAACATAATCTAACCTTTAATCTCCGAGAAAAGTTTCGTTGATTGCCCTGGTATGTTTTCTAGATTTGTCTCTGTCCAAAGTTGGGGAACACTGCTAATCTTCAAATCATAGGTCACGATATTCTGGTTAGTCTCGTTCTCTTGCACATCTTGGGAGATTCAGCTTCTCTTTTTAAGAGTTGATGCTAACCAGCTTTGCACAGATGAGCACCATGCTTTCAGGAGCCGCGGTCATGGTAGGTTTCACCTTTTACTACAGCAATTAAGATTTCAGGGTATTGGTGATAAGCTAACATCACTTTACTAGGATGCCGCTCTTCTCTTGATTGCCGGAAACGAAACCTGCCCCCAACCCCAGACCTCGGAGCACTTGGCCGCCATTGAGATCATGAAGCTCAACCACATCGTCATTCTCCAAAATAAGGGTAAAATCATAGTTCCTGCAAACTATCGATGAAACGAAGCACTGACGTTCAAAAATAAAACAGTTGACCTCATGCGGAGCGATAATGCCCTCGAGCACTATCAGTCGATTCTCAAATTCATCCGTGGTACTGTTGCTGATGGATCGCCCGTTATCCCCATTTCAGCACAGCTGAAGTACAACATTGATGCTGTCAATGAGGCACTTGTTCACACAATCCCCATCCCTATTCGCAACTTCGAGGCCACTCCTCACATGATGATCATTCGTTCCTTTGATGTGAACAAGCCCGGTGCCGAGATCGATGAGCTCAAGGGTGGTGTTGCCGGTGGTTCCATCCTTACCGGTGTCGTAAAGTTGAACGATGAGATCGAGATCCGCCCCGGTCTCGTCACCAAGGACGAGCAGGGCAAGATCCAGTGCCGTCCCATTTTCTCCCGCATCGTGTCTCTCTTCGCTGAGCACAACGATCTCAAGTTTGCCGTGCCTGGTGGATTGATCGGTGTCGGTACCCGTGTCGACCCCACACTTTGCCGTGCCGATCGTCTTGTCGGTTTCGTTCTTGGCCACCGTGGCCGTCTTCCCGCCATCTACACCGAGATCGAAGTCAACTATTTCCTGCTCCGCCGCCTGCTCGGTGTCAAGACCGCCGACGGCAAGCAAGCCAAGGTCGCCAAGCTTGCTAAGAACGAAGTCCTGATGGTCAACATCGGTTCCACCGCTACTGGTGCTAAGGTCCTCGGTGTCAAGGCCGATGCTGCCAAGCTCAGCTTGACCAGCCCCGCCTGTACCGAAGTCGGCGAAAAGATCGCCATCAGCCGCAGAATCGAGAAGCACTGGCGTTTGATTGGATGGGCCAACATTGTTGCGTAAGTTTCATAGTTTTGGTATTCCTTCTGGCCATGACAAATACTGACTTAATTCGCAGTGGTAACACCCTCGAGCCTGTGCAGCAGTAAAGCAATCCTTTCAATGATTTCCCAGTTCGTAATGGGGAGCTTGGGAATGAGGTTTGTCATGTCGGGGAAATTGATTTACACATAAATCTCGCTATATCCCCGAACAACGATCTCATCCCACCTCCCCTCGAACACGAGTCTTGCGATCTATGATTGCAAAAAAGTTTATGGTCATGACGAATCGGAAAATTAAAGACGTGATTTAACTGATTCCCCGGGCTGAATAGAGAAGATGGAGGAGACATGCAATCCTGTATTGTCGCCACCTTGATCGCTCTACCTCTATGCATGTCAGCGCCCAGTTTATCTGGTCCGCGACTGCATGGTATGGTTTGATCTGAGGGACGGACGACGGACGGGATGCAGGTGAAGTCGGCGAATAAGATATGCTTTTTATTTTCATCGTACGAGGGAGTTGTTTTCAAGAGGTTTCCTGTTCTGTTCATTGCCTCATTTCCTGTCTGCATGATCAGATCTTATGTAGATAGACCTAGTTATACAGGTCTGTGGTTAAAAATGCAGGGAAATTGAGGCACAATTTAAGAGCTTCCGCATGTTTTATCAACTTACAGCTGGCTTCTTCGTCTGATATAAATTAAAAAAACAAACATTTGCAAATGAGGGTAGTCGTTTCGGCTAGAGCGTTGGATGTATATATTTCACGACTACGGAGTATAACCACTTGTATCGCCCCGCAAAGTGATGACTATGTGCTCTAAGCTACCGGGTACTGTTATAGCTAGAAAGGCCATAGCGACACTAAGATTTAAATATAGATAAAATATTATACAATCTTCGAGTATTGTCCTGGTCGACCGTTATATGAGCCCTAAAGACTTCAACAATGGCGTCAGCAGAAGTTACTTACATTTAAATGTTGGTGAACCAAACTCAATCAACTCTTATTAATTCATCTCACATCTTAGACGCTAAATAATTGATTAATAGAACCAATTCCTGAGATCGACCTTTGTAGGAATGGGACCAAGGTGGCCCCGGGGGCACGCATGATATCTGACTAAGGCTGCCGATAATAACAAAGTAGCATCTTCTGACTTGAACAACTTCCTCTTTCTTCGCCTAGTTGCGCGATTTTAATCATGTATATCCTCGAGGTAAGTTGAAAAGATTGAAATTCCACCGTGTTTATATGGTGAAGTTGCTTTCCTCGTGGACACGTCGCTAATGTATCCCTCCAGCAACTGGCGCGCTTGCTCGATCGCCCGCTCTTCCCATGGAAGAACGTGCTTGTGGGCTTTTCACTGGGCCAGTTCGTCCTTGAAGGTTTCCTCTCACTTCGGCAGTACAAGTTTTTGCAACGGACGAAGCCTCCCCAGGTTCTCGCAGCGGAGGTTACCCAGGAGGTCTTTGACCAAAGTCAGGTATGAACCCGACGAACCGTACGATATACACAGACTCATTGGAATATCATTACAGGCATACGGTCGCGCAAAGGCCAAGTTCAGCTTCTTCTCCGGTCTCTACGGCCAAATCCAAAACCTTGCATTCATCTACGGCGATGTCCTCCCCAAGCTCTGGGGCCTCAGTGGTCTGGTGCTCGCTCGGTACCTCCCCGGTCGGTTCCAGGGCGAAATCTGTCAAACATTGGTATTCTTCTTCGGTTTCAACCTTCTAAGCACTATCCTCTCGCTGCCCGTCTCGTACTACAACACGTTTGTGCTCGAGGAGAAGTTCGGTTTCAACAAGCAGACGCTCAAGCTTTGGGTTACGGATATGCTCAAGGGTCAGATGCTTGGAATTGTTTTGGGAACTCCTATTATCACTGCTATTCTCAAGATTGTTCAGAAGTTTGACACCTCGTTCTACTACTACCTCTGGCTCTTCGGTGTCTTCCTCCAGGTCTTCGCCATTACTATCTACCCCATTGCGATTCTGCCTCTCTTCAACAAGCTCTCGCCACTTCAGCCCGGTGAACTCAAGACCGGTGTCGAAAACCTGGCTAAGAGACTCAACTTCCCTCTCTCCGAGCTGCACGTCATTGATGGCAGCAAGCGCAGTGCCCACAGCAATGCCTACTTTTACGGCCTGCCATGGAAGAAGCACATTGTCATCTATGATACTCTGATTGAGAAGACTGAGCCCGAGGAGGTCGTTGCTGTCCTGGGCCACGAGCTTGGTCACTGGAGCCTCAGCCACACCACCAAGCTGTTCGGAATTGCCCAGGTACGAATATGCTCAGTTGCCCTTTTGGCGAATTATCACTAACTATGCGACTTAGGCTCACATGTTCTACATCTTCGCTCTCTTCTCTGTCTTTGTCAACAACAAGTCGTTGTACCAGTCCTTTGGATTCGTGAATGAGCAGCCTATCATGATTGGTTTCCTGCTCTTCTCCGATGCCCTGGCGCCTATGGATGCTGTCGTGAAGCTTCTCATGAACATCCTCAGCCGGAAGTTTGAATTTGAGGCCGGTATGTTCCATTGGATCTATCATATACCCTCTGTTGTACTCTCAGTCGTACTAACAATATTCTACAGATAAATTTGCCCAGAACCTTGGTTACTCCGACAAGCTTGCTTCCTCGCTCCTGAAGCTCCAGATTCAGAACCTCAGCACTATGGATGCTGATCCGATTTATGCTAGCTACCACTACTCCCACCCCATCCTTACCGAGCGTCTCGCTGCGCTTGGCTGGAAGGGCGGCAAGGTCACCAGCAGCAAGGCGGAGGATAGTGAAAAGCCCGTTAAGGCCGCGGACCGCGAGCTGTAAACTGGATAAGTGTTAGTTATACTGGCGATTTCCATATGAACTGGCTATGACTTTGTACTGGTGACATATTGGGGTACCAATCTCGAGAAGCAAAAGCGAGGCTTGGAAATGTTCCATTATGTATTGATTGGATTGTAGCAATCCGTCTAAACTATAAATAACACTTTTTGTCCAGACATGAAATGCGAGTACTTTTTTTGTACGTCCAAAACCCAACCCAGCCCAGAGTAATAGAGCAATAGAACGAAAGAAAGGAAAAAGACTCCGACCCAATGCAGCAACGCCCACAACCAAATATATACCCACACTCAATCGGAATCCTCAGCCTCAGCCTTGGCCTTGGCCTTATCCTTCTTCTCCGCCAACCGTCTCTCCTTCTTCTTCCGCTTGCGCTCCTCCTTATCAATACCAGCCTCCTGATCCGCAAAAGCTTCAGCCTCCATGCCAAACTCAGCGTCATTCATGACAAGATCATTGCTCTCGTCCAGCTGATCATGCTTGTTGGTCTGCACAATACCCGCAGCAACATCCAGATAATCCTCTCCGGGGTTTTGCTTCGCGACGGTCAGATCGCGACCGAGGAGCTCTCCAGCTAGACCCGCTTGCACGCGCTTCAGGTTGTGTAGGATCAGGTTTGGCGCTGCGGCGGTCGTCCGTGAGACGGGGCCATGCTCGCTGATGCTGGCGTTGGGTTGCAACGATGGGTCTGTTGCGGCGCGGTCAAGGTAAGCGGCTAGGAATTCCTGCGCTGCGGACTGGCTGATGGTCTGTGTGCTTTGCACTGTGACTGGAGGGAGGGCCTGGGGACCTTGAGTTGCCATTTTGGTAAAATTGGTATTCTTCGCCGGGCTTAGAGGGTGGTTTTTTGAGGCTGAAGGGTGGTAATGAGGGCGATTATGGAGTTGTGTCGCCCGGTATTGGGATTGACAGTACTGGGAGTATAATTTCTCTTGAGTTCAGCGTGACTGGCGAGTAGGATGGTGAGTTGCACGGGCGACGTTGAGCATTTCGCATCTCGAGATCAAAAAAGTTCGGTGACGCTAGTCCTGATCGGGTAGGTCTTCTTAACGGGATGCGCTGCAACTATAGTCTGATGTTTAACAGCTAAACATAGTTATATAGTAGTTATAGGATATAAGTATATATTACACTAGAAATCAACTCAATTCTATCATCTATATATCCCAAGCGATTACTGTACATTATTGTCGACATACATCTCTAGGCGGGTCCGTGCCAGCGGCTCCGCGCTTAATTTTCTGTCTTCCGACGCCGCGTCTTGTCCACCAGGCCTCACTCGATCTCCAACACCAGCTCTCCCACCCCGCCTTAATCGTCCTCCAAACATAGCCAGGGTCAAAATGTTCTGCCTCCGCGCCAGGGCTGTGCCCTCAACCTTCCGGGCCACCACATCGGCCATGCGGACCTCGATGAGCAGGTACGCAAAGCCCCCAAACCAGCAACCTCTCCAGCCTCGAAACCAACCAGACAGCTAATACCTTATTCCACCCGGCAACAGATTTGCCCAAATCCCGCAACAACCAAGCACACCCTCCACAATGCTCTCATCCCGATCCTTCTCCTCCCTCCTCTCCACGCCAACCCGCTTCCAACCCTCGCGAACACTCGGCGCCCGCCTCTCCTCGCCAATCACAGCAACCGCCTCCGCCTTCTCACCCCTGTCATCACTCCTCTCCCAGAAGACACCCTCGCAGTCCCGCTCGTTCTCCGCAAGTGCCTCCCTAGGCGTGCGCCGTGTGACGTTCCGCCCGTCACGACGGGTCCAAAAGCGCCGCCATGGATACCTGGCGCGCAAGAAGGACAGGAACGGGCGCAAGACTCTTATCCGGAGGACTCTTAAGGGCCGGAAGGAGTTGAGTTGGTAGTTTTATTCGTTTCGTCTCTGACCTTTGAATCGTTCGGGGGTTGTATTGAAAGAAGGATTTATACCATAGAGGACCGGTTGGATTGGATTGATTGGATTGATTGCAATCCGTATTGCATCACGGCAATAGTGGGAAGCAAGTAGGGGGGCAATTACCGATTTATTCATTCTTGGAACTATTTACAGTCTTCAGATCGGATCCGGGTTCGAACAAGACGGTTACTGGCGAGTCTTGTTTGACGTGTACCATATTTACATTTCCTCGAGGATGTGTGTGACTACATTATTAGTGCGAATGTTTCAGCTTTGTTTATGCCAGTCAAGATCTCGGTGTTTACTGAGTTGCAGCGTGTTTGCAGCAAGTAAAGGAGTAGATTCATCACTGTCTAGGTTGTGTAGAGTCTCTTGACACCACAATTCCGTCTATGTGATCCTCCTCGCTACCCATGCATAGGTCGTTCATAGACATATCACTCGTCGTCGCTTTCGTACTCGCTATCCTCCGATCCGGTCTCGGAGTCATCATCCTCGTCATCATCATCTTCGTCATCGTCCTCGTCTTCTTCCTCGTCACCAACCTTCAGACCATAGTCGTCCTCGAATTCCTTGAGAGGCTGAACTGTAGGGGTGAAGCCGGAAGATTCGAAGCCTTGCTTAATGGTCTGTTCACAATCAAAATTAGCAATCCATATCTGCAACGTGAAGGCTGGGGAACAACTCACCTCTTCCAACACAGTTGCGCAGGTGACAACCATGTTTGCAGTCTTCGGATCAAACAACGGCAAGATGATATCACGTAGAGCACCCTTGATCTGGTCAGTAGTGATAGCGCGCACATTCTTGAGCATCTTCTCCTTATAGTCGCTGGGCAAGTTGCGGATCGCCTGGCGGATGAAACTGCCCTGGGCAGCATTGACGGCAGTCATCTGCTCATTAGCGTAGTTGACCACGATGCTGCTGATAGCACCCTCCAGCATCAAAGGATCGAAAGGCGTAGCACCGGACAGATAGTTCTCAACAATGTGCTTGCTAGACTCGAACGCCTTGTGGGCATTCGGGGACCGGTACACATCGAAGTTGACAAAGCCCGTGTCGATGTTGTAACTGAAGTTAGTACCGTACGCCAGACCAGTGCCACGGACTGCAACCCAGAGAGGACCCTCGACAGCGTTCATGTACGAGATTGCGACGAGCAGCGCGGGCAGATCCGGGGAGTCGTACGAGTCCAGACCACGGGCGGTGGCGTAGGCAAAAGACGAGTCGACAGTCGGCATAGGGACGATGTAAGACTTGCCGCCAATGTTCTTGCCGGCATCGCTCAGCCGAGATCGTCGGTCAGTGATAGGCCGCAACTCAGTGCTGGCGCCCAGGGTCTCGGCGAAGGGCTTCCAGGCCGAGACGGGGTTCTGAAGTTTCTCAATGTCGGCAATGACAATGACGCGCACATTGTCGGGCTTGAAGAGCGAGTTGCGGATCTCCTCCATGCGGCTCACGATTTCCTCGGGCTTCTCAGCGAGCAGACGCTTGACACGCTTGAGGTAGCGAGCCTTCACCAAAGTGGAACGAGCACGGGTGATCGACTCGTCTGCGTAATGAACCATCACATGAACAGCAGCAAGCATGTCGTCACCACTGCGCTTGGAGTCGGGCACATCGGCCAAGAGACGGGAGTTGATGGCCCGGAGTCTCTCCACGTCGAAGACGGACTTCCAGCACAACTCCTGCAGCCAGGCGACGGCGTGAGTATACTTCTCCAGTTCGACCTGGAAGGAGATACGTAACATCTCCGAGTTTCCAAGACCGCGAGCAGTCTCCATCGAGTATCCGACGGTGTCTCTCTCCAATTCCACTACAACCTGTTCAAAGTCGATTGTCTTGCCATCACGCTGCACCGGAATGTTGAAGAACGCTTCGGTGTAGACGGACAGCAATGGACGCAATTGAACGGGCACAGAATCAGCTGAGATGAGGACCGATAGCTGGACAAAGCTACTAGGGATGTGCTCGAAGTGGATGAAAAGGGATTGGTCAGACTTGTCGGCATCAACGAGGGGTTGGATCTTGTTGTTGGGGCGTCCAGCTTTCAGGGCAGCACCTGAAAGAGCGGTACTGGTCTCCATGAAGTGGATCGACTCAGTTCCTGGGATAGCGAACTTTTCTAGCAATTCCTGCGGAATCTCCTTGTCATTCTCTGCCTTGGCCTTTTCGAGTTTGTCGGCAAGCTCCTTGAGGCCCTTCTCGCCGAGACGCTCCTTCTGCGCAGCGGCCCGGTCCTCCTCGTCCTTTTTCAGTGAGGCGGACATCTTCTGGGATGGAATACCCAAGATAGTGACGTGGGGCGCATCCGAGATCCACTTCTTGATGAAATCGCGCCACTGGTCTTCGGTCCAGGTCGCAAGGACATCGTATTCCTTCAAAGTCGCGACATCCATCAAGGTTGAGCCGTCACGCTTTCCGAACAGGAAATCAGAGATAACGTACTCAGCAAATGAAGAGGCAGAAGACTCAGTCGAGAACTTCCAGGTTCGGCGCTGTCGGTCGATGCACTCTTTCAAGTACTTCATATCCAATTCCTTGGCCATGGCATCTTGGAGGATCTCAAAGAATCTCTTCTCAACGCTCTCCAACTTCTCTGTTTCCACGCTGGTCAACGTGAAACGAACCTCCATGCTAGGGTGATCCTCAGTCGCGTAGTAAACGGCACTGGCGAGTTGTTCTTTCTCAACAATGATGTTCTCTAGCAGAGCTGCAGATGAACCGGCCAGGTACAAAAGTGACACATTAAGAGCCCCGGCTATGATACTGTAAGTATTTGATCTCAAATATTGGGGGTTTGAATCTTACATAGGATGGGATCGATGCAGCTGGGTCCCATGAAGCGGATTTCGATTTCACCAAATGATTCATCCTCCTCGGGGAACTCAACCTTCTGAATAGCGGACTTCTCCAAGTAAGGAGCTTGCTTGGAATCCACCCAGGGTCTCTTAAATGGTGCCTCTGGGCTAGGAATGACATCCAAGATAGTGTCTTCGAACTTGTCCAAGATATCAAGCATGTTCTCCTGGTCGACCTCTCCGGTGAGGATTAGGCACAGGTTCTTGGGCTGATACATCTCACGGTGGAACTCGCGGATTCGTTCCGCAGGCAAGACACGAAGCTGTTCCATCATACCTCCTGTCTCATAGCGGAAACCCACGCCAGGCGGGTAGATCAATCTGCGAGCTGCCAGGTCGATCAACTCAGCGGCATTGTTCTGTACACCCTGCATCTCGGAATACACGACACCGGCATCATTTCCAGAGCCATCGACGTGGTGAACTTCAGTGTAGCAGCCTTCGTCAGTCAGAGTAGGAGCAATCACATGCTCCAGGTAGACTGGAAGGATACGAGCAAAGCCTTCCCAGCCTGCAGTATCAAGCGTGTAGGCAGTGTGATCAGTTGCCGTCCAGGCATTGGTGCTAGAGTATACGCGGGTGGCTAGCTTGTCAAGGAAGCCCTTGTAGCGGTAATTGCGGGAACCCATGAAGCACAAGTGCTCCAGAGTATGAGGAGCACCCGAATCATCGTGGATTTCGGTAGCAAGCACAAAGTAACCGTTGACCTTGGGACCCGGCTGGTCGATAACGACCACTCTCATACCGGTACGCTGTGATTCATACTGGGTGAACTCGCTCGGCGAGTAATCAGGCTTGAACTGCTGGAGCAGTTTGAAGTGACTGTTCTGCACCGAGGGCGACATATTGATCAATGGGGCAGACCCAGTGAAGAAATTTCGCCGTAAGCTTGACAGTCTGGTTGTTCTTGTTAGCAATTTGTGTCCATTAATTTGAGAGTTGATACAGTTGCGAGCATATAAATTCACGATGACGAATAGTCTGATAACAAGTACAACCACAATTCAGAGAAGAAAATTCACTCTGCGCTGAGCTCGAATAGGATAAGGACAAAAGCACCAACAAGTAGTTCGCCTCCAAACTATGCCCTGAAAGGACATATCCAGCAGACCTGCGACATGTGGCCAAGGATAATCACATATAGGTGGGGTGGCGAGCAAAAATTTGGGGATAGAAGAGTGACACCCCTCCATAGGCAATAAGAAAGAAGGCAATTCACATTGACTTACAGGAAACTCGTACTTGTCCGACTCAGTGGGAGAATTCGAGACACGGTGAGTCTGAGATGTCTTCAAAAGTGTGTTGGACCCGGAGTTTTCGAGAATGGAGATTCTCCCGTTTTCCTTACAAAGCGGGCAACTGAAAGAATGTATTTAACAAAGAGAAATATTAGATTTCGAAATATTTACAACCAGTCAAAAAGAATTTATAGTCTTATTAAAATTCTAGTGAATTTAGAGCTCTATAGCGAAGGATACAGTATACACCACGTGGGGGCGGTGACGCCCAAAGTCACGGGTTGATAGCTCGACACTTCCTTTACGTGTCTATTTCCGAAGCTCCGAGGCTTGTGTTCCCTGATAATTTGTGCTTTATTTCAGCCCGAAAAGTTGGAATCATGCCAGCAAATACTGAGGAGCTGTGCCAGGCGGTGTTAGGCTTCGTCACTGAGGGCACTTATCCCGAGGAGAGTGTAGTTGCTGGTAAGTTCCCGGCAGCTGCTCTCGCCAGGGAACTCGAGCTTATATCGAAGGCGCGTGAGCAAGTAGAGGTATGAAATCTCCAGTGTCTATTTATCCACGTCTATGATTACTGACCCGCGCTGTTGTGCTTGATTAGAATGAGATTAGCTCCTTGAGTCGCGAGAACACCACCTTCGATGCAGATGACTGGATCATCCAAGCGAAGCAACTCCACGCCGACATAGAACGCTCAAGATTGACTGCGCGAGAAATAGTCGCGCAGCATGAGCATACCGAACCCCTGCAAGCGAAGGTTGAAGATGCAAGAGCCAAGGTCGCATTGGTTGAGACGGAGATTGCCTTCAATGAGGCTGTAGCGGGCACCCTAGAGGAAGTGCACCGTCTATGCCAGCAGCTGGAAATAGGGCGAGCTGCCCTCAGAAATGGTCAGATCACCACTGCCATTGAGCAATTGGAGTCGACCGACGCAGCTGTTGGAAAGGATGCCTTCTTTACCAATACAAATGTGATGGGTATACTCTCTGACGAGGTATCACTTCTACGATCGGAGATTTCCCAGGCGCTTCGTTCACGCTGGGCTGATCAATTGAACGTTGATCGACAACAAGGGGAATTCCATGTCTCCAGCGCAGCTGCAGCTGCAGATTCTCTTGAGAGCACTATTACGTTGCTGGCCCGACTGGATATACTCGCATCTGCCAATGAGAAGCTGCAAAAAGATCTACTATCTGCGATCGTAAATCCGATCTTGCAACCTCACCCTGATGGAACCAGCCATGGTGTGGTGGTGACGGAGACTGGCATTCACATTGAGCCCGAGGCCTCAAAGACAACCGCTCTAGAGACCTTGGATCGGATTTCCAGCGTTTTGGGCTACTTGCGACATAATATACCGTCGTCGGTGTCTGCAACTTTCTCCGAATCATTCATTGTGACTATTTCCTCGAAGGTGATATCCGAGTGGCTGTCTCCTGCCATTCCCACCGATTTAGGTGGCCTCGGCGAGTTTGAGAATACCCTGAACCACGTTTTACAGTTCACCAAGCAGGTGGATTCTTGGGGTTGGACTGGTCAAGAAGAGCTCGTCTCGTGGGTCAATCAAGCCCCACGCCTGTGGCTGACTCGGCGTAGAGTCGACTCGCTCGATAGAGTTCGCAAGGTCCTTGCTGCCAGTCAGGGAACAACGAAACAGGTCGAACGAATTGAAAAGGAAAAGGTTTCTCAGGCTGAGGGCGCTCTATTGGAGACTGAAGGCAATGATGACTGGGATGCGGACTGGGATGACGATAAAGAAGACGAGCCCAAGGAAGCAGAAACAACAAAGCCCGAGGAGGAAGAGGAAGACGTTAGTGCGTGGGGTCTTGATGACGAGGAGACTGAGGAGACTCCCGATCAGGCCAAACCTGCTTCCATAGAAGACGATGATGCTGATGATGATGCTTGGGGCTGGGGCGATGAGGATGAAGATGACCATAAAGTCGATAATAAACCCCCGCAGCCCCAGAACACAGCAGCGACAAAACCAACCGGGTCTTCATCACCAAAAGAGGTCACCCTAAAGGAAGTCTTCACAATCACCGATATCCCCGAATCTGTTCTTGGGGTTGTCCAGCAGCAAATCACCGATTCAAAGGATATTTTGCAGCCTGCGTAAGTCGTGCCTTCTTCGACCTTTTTTTTTTTTACCTCAAACTAACTAGAGCCCAGTCATGCCAATTCCCGCGTCGCTTCTTCTGGTGCTGGTCTTCTTGCACTGCCGACCTTGATCTTGGCTATGTTCAAAGCTACATCATCCACATTCTACTCGCTGAAGCTTACTTCAGGGCAGATGTATCTTTATAATGATAGTCTGTACCTTGCCGAGGAAATCCGGAAACTGGTCGAGGAACATGATCTCTCCAGACTTCAGCCTGATGTTGAAGCTTTGGAGAAATTTGGCAAACTTGCGTATAGCAAAGAGATGCAGACGCAGCGCACGATCGTCACAGATCTGCTTGACGGAGCCCAAGGATTTGGACAATGCTCCGAGCAGCCATTCCAGGCAGACTGTGAGAACTCTGTTAGCGCAACCGTCGACCGAATTCGTGATGTTTACAAGGAATGGCAACCCATACTGTCTCATTCTGCGCTCCTCCAATCAGTTGGATCTCTCTTGTCTACCGTGATCAATAAGGTGGTCATCGATATCGAAGATTTGGGTGATATCTCGGAGGATCAGTCACGGCAACTGGTCTCCTTCTGTAATCAACTTTCAAAATTGGAGGACCTCTTCATGCCTGAGCCAGATGGTGGCGCCGAGGCATTGCCCGTCACTGCCATCTACGTTCCGAGCTGGTTCCGTTTCCAATACATGATCAATATTCTCGAGAGCTCTTTGGCCGATATCAAATTCCTTTGGCTCGAAGGAGAGTTGGGCTTGGAGTTCTCTGCTGAGGAAGTGATTGATCTGATCGAGGCCTTGTTTGCAGAGTCTGATCACCGGAGACGTGCTATTTCGGAGATTCGGAGAGCTCCCAGAGGGTAAATCCCATAGAAATACAATTTCTTCACTAGATATAATCCTTAAATTGCAATGTTTTGTATTCAACTATGTAGGCCGAGTGGAGCCATCTCCGCGCTCTGCGCAAGTGTGCCGCACGGGTCACCGTATTTTTTCCTCACCCGCCGAAAATGCGACAGCCACCAAAAAAGATTCCATCTGCAACATCGGCACCAATTTGAACGATTTCAAAATGAGTGAAGATTTGGTCACATCCGCTGCGGCAGAATCCGCACAGAGACAAGTTCGAGTGCAGCTTATCAGCCAACAGGAGGATATTGCTCTGCCTGAAAGCACCGGTCCAATTCTTGTTCCTACTGGTGAGAGACCCATTGCCGATCAAAAATCATAAATGGTAGTATGAAGTACTGACCTTCCTCAAAAGGGCTTCGACGATATGCGCTGTCGACACTTGTGAACAACCTTCTTTCAAGCGAAAAGCCCATTCCATTTGAGTTTTTGATCAATGGAACTTTTTTGCGGACCTCAATTGATGAATATTTGGTCGATAACGGTATCTCTGCTGAGACGACCCTCGAGATTGAATATGTTCGAGCTTTGATTCCCCCCCTGCACATCGCCTCGTTCCAGCACGACGACTGGGTCAGCGCGACAGACGTCCTTTCCACGACTTCACCTGCTGCATCCTGGGCCTCAGGTGCGACTTTCACCCCGGGCCAGGAAAGAATCCTATCAGGAAGTTATGATGGTCTGCTCCGGATCTGGAATATGTCTTCTGAGACTATTGCGACCTCCCCTGCCGCCGCCGATGGTGGCCACACCGCCTCTATCAGAGCCGCTAAGTTCGTTTCGCCCAACCAGATCGCATCGGCTGGTCTTGATCGCACGGTCCGATTGTGGAAGTATACCGAGGGTGAAGGTGGTTTCACTGGGAAAATTTCTCCTCAACTGGAGCTGTACGGTCACAAGGCTGGAATCGAGTCACTAGCAGTTCACGCCAAGTCCAACCGTCTGTTGACTGGTTCTGCAGACAACACCGTTGGATTCTGGTCAACCAAGAAGGCCGATGCCCCGGCAGCACCTGAGAACTTGCTTCCTTCTAGCAATGCACGGAACACGAAGCGCCGCAAGCTGAACACATCCGTCACCACACCGCAACGTGGTCCTCTGACCCTTCTGTCAGCTCACACAGCACCTGTTTCTGCTGCTATTTTCGACGGAAAAGATGCTACCGTTGGTTACTCGGCATCATGGGATCACTCCCTGCGGACCTGGGATTTGGTCACCGGTGCTCTGGTTGATACCCGCACCACATCACACTCCCTCCTCTCGCTCGAGCACCTCCCCGAACTCAGCCTCTTGGCTGCCGGTACTGCCGCCCGCCATATCACTCTGATTGATCCCCGCGCATCTGCTACGACTGTGTCTGCCATGACTCTCCGCGGCCACACCAACGCTGTTGTGAGCTTGGCCCGTGACCCCCATAGCACATATGGTCTCATTAGCGGTAGTCACGACGGAACGTGCAGAATTTGGGATATCCGATCCACTAAGACAGACAAGGAAGGTGTTGTTGGTGAGAGTGTTTACTCGATTACCCGTAAGAGCCTCGAGGAGGAGGGCAAGTCGGATAGCAAGCGGGTTGGCGGTGAAGGTGTTAAGGTGTTCAGCGTGAGCTGGGACAAGACAGTGGGCATTGTCAGCGCGGGTGAGGATAAGCGGATCCAAATCAACCGCGGCGAAGGCGTGCTGTCTTCGCAGGCATGAGTGCACATATGGGCCTGGCGTTTAACACTTGGTTGAGGGCAAAAGTTTAGACTTACACATATTTTTTCTTCTTACTTTCCGTCTTCGCGTATATCTTTAGCTCGGAATTGCATATATATCAAACTGCAACCTGATAGTCACTACGAATTTGCCGTACATATAATGTTGTTTTGAAGCTTCCATTCACCTCAGGTTTATGTCTAGCCTATAATACATCCACAGAGGGGTTCCATTCACATACAAACTGGCAAAGGTCGAGTGCCAGGAATCAATAAAACGCCAAATCCATGCCTCTCACGCAAAATATTGAGACAATCCCATAAAAGTAACAATTGAACAAAACATCACCAAGTTTATAGTCTGCGCTCCATGCGGTTCAACTTGACAGGAGTTTTGATCTATTGAAATTCCGTTAGTCATGAGCACTAATAGTATCTTTCGAGATATAACAGGGCAAATTGATATATCAAGAGAGCACGAGGTGGAAAAGGGAAACCCACCTGAGTCCGTGTCCTCTGTCCCCTCACAGGCAAGCCGAGCGCATGACGTCGGCCGCGATAAGTTCCGGTCTCTTTCATGCGCTTAATATCGTTCAGAACTTCTCTGCGCAGATCGTTCTCGATTTTCATATCAGACAGCACGGCTGTGAGGTCGAGGACCTGCTTGTTGGCCAGCTCGCCGACGCGGCAGGTCGGGTGGATGTTGAAGCGGGCCATGAGGCGGCCAGAGGTGTTGCCACCGATTCCGAAGAAGGTCTCGAGGGATTTCTGTTGTGCCCAGTGCACGTTAGTTGAGGATCAATTGGGTTGGGATATCGAAGTTGCGGGCGCAATCGTGAGGGCTGGGCTTGCCTTGAGCAGGTTCCGCTCGGGGAAGTTGACACCAAGAATGAAAACCTAAGAGGTATTAGCGGAGTTTCTTTGGAAAAAAAAAGGTATTACATTTAGACGCTGGGTATCGTACCATCTTGACCTGTGTTTGCTGGCTGGTGTTCTGACAATCGTATGGAGCCGTCACTTGGTGCTCTCGTTGAACTCCGGGAGAAATCCTCCGCCAACGTTAACGTTTTTCCGAAGTTGTTTGGTGCCTGAATTAGGTGGCACCAACACGTCTATTCTCCGCACGCCATTGCAAGCTGGCCTTCTTCCCCTCTCAATTGCTACATCTTCCCCTTTCACTGTATCCTACCAGAGCAGTGGCAATTACCAAGCATGTATTTCCGGAATCTTTTTGTCTCCCTTTTCTTGGTCTTCGCTGTCGGCTTTGCGCTGGTTCAGGCTGAACAGTCCAAGGAGCCTCGTGGCCCTAAGATTACCTCCAAGGTGATTGATGTTATAGCTTGGTCTAGATGCACGCGGTACTTATTTTTGGTAACAGGTCTACTTCGACATTCAGCATGGAGATGAGCCTCTCGGTCGCATTGTGATGGGCTTGTACGGCAAGACCGTCCCCGAGGTTCGTTGAACTATATCCCCATAGTCAATAATAAGCAATCGAGGGTTATTGCTGACATTGGTGTTTATATAGACCGCTGAGAACTTCCGGTATGGTGAAATTGCTATATCAACGTCTCCAACGTCTATTCTCAATATACTAATCCACATCTAGCGCTTTGGCTACTGGCGAGAAGGGCTTTGGTTACCAGGACTCTACCTTCCACCGTGTCATCAAGGATTTCATGATTCAGGGTGGTGATTTCACCAAGGGCGATGGTTTGTGATTCTCCTAAGTATTTTAGATTGCGTCATACTAAGTGCGTATAGGTACTGGAGGAAAGTCCATCTACGGCAACAAGTTCAAGGATGAGAACTTCAAGCTGCGTCATACCAAGAAGGGTCAACTGAGTAGGGTTTTCACTCTTTGATTCAACCTCCCAGGCATCTGACCATTTTTAGGCATGGCCAACGCTGGCAAGGACACCAACGGCTCTCAGTTCTTTATCACCACCGCTGTCACCTCGTTCGTATCCTTCAGAGTGATGCTTTTGGCGCAATAACTAACTGAAACTACGCAGTTGGCTCGATGGCCGCCATGTCGTTTTCGGCGAAGTCCTCGAGGGCTACGAGGTTGTCGACAAGATCCAAAACGTTCCCAAGGGTTCCGGCGACAAGCCCAAGCTGGCAGTTAAGATCGTGAAGAGTGGTGAGCTCGAAGTTGAGCCCGAGACCGAGGACAAAGGTAGCCGCGATGAGCTCTAGACAGGTGACTGTCTGCGCGATGTTTTCTCTCCTGCTGGTCGGAAGGGCTGATGATCCAATGGATATATAAAGAACTCGCCCAAGAGCCGGGTGTCATCGACAAGCTTCCCGTGACTCCCGATGCCACCGATTCCGCCACGCCATCTTACTCCCTACAGCCGGCCATGATTTTCTTTGTCCTGGTCGCCGTTGTGGGTATCTTGATTTCCCGTCGGCGAGGCCAGCAGCAACAGCAACAGCAAGAGAAAAAAGAACAGTACGGTGCATAAGAGATGTTAGATCAATTATACATTATTTTGGTACTTTCCCCCCTTCGGTGCCTAAATTCCTGAAATTCCATGATGACTTCTCATCATCATAACTTGATAAATGCTACTGTCACGTAGGTGGTGATATAGTTTGGTGGACTGCGGAAAATCATCCAGTCAGATCAAAAAGATTACCGAGTGGGTCGCCTCTTGTCTTAGTCAGGCAAGGCGTCCAGACCGCCCGCGAGCAGCAACTGGCGAGTAGAAATTTCTTCAGTGGCGGTAAGTACCTGATCAGTACTTCATTTAGGCGGGACGTTACACTATAAACTTAGGTTACTTCGAGGTACCCCCAGTAGCCACACAGCGCCCCAGCTCTCCAACTTCTGTTGCCTCCTTCCCACAGACTTCATCCACCCGTTCTTCTCTCTTGATTCAACCCCTCTCCATCATCCCTTTTTCACTACTCTCTCTCTCTCTCTTTTCTTCTCTAGAGTTCTTAGATTCGGGAGATTTGCATTTTCCATCTTCTCTGAGGTTTTCTTGAGCTTTCTTGTTTGCCACTCGATCTTTTTTTTCTTATCGAGTGAAACAGAAAAGCGATTTGATCTTTTCACCGTCTCTCTCTTGTTTTTAAAGGTACACTTTACGTGGATTTCTTATTCTCTGCAAGTATCTTTTTCAGATATCTTGCGCTTTATCTACGACGAACGAATCTTTCCCGGTGAAGCAGAAAAAAACTGTACGCAATATTCTTCACCTGCTTCGGTCGTCATAGGCCAGCTTCTAACTTTCACCCTGCAACAGACATTTACCGCAAAAATGGCCGACGGTTTGAACATGGGAAACCTTTCCCTCAACGAGTCCCAGCACGCCCCCCAGGGTAACGCCCCTGTTGGCCGCGCTGCCTACATTCCTCCTCACCTTCGCCAGCGTGGTCCCGGCTCTGGTCCCGCCCCCGGCCCTGTCCCCAGTGCTAGCGGCGATGCTCCTGGATCTGGCTTCGGTGGTCCTCGGTATGGTACCCAAAAGGTCGAACTTGATGAATCCGCAACTGATCTTATGTTTTCTAGTGACGCTGGTGGCAACTGGGCCAACGCTAACGCTCCCAACTTCAGCCCTCGTGGCCCCGCGAATGGTATGACCAGCTGGACCCCCGACGGAAAACTCCGGCCCTTCAATCCGAATGCTTACGGAAACCCAGGATCTTCTTACGGTGGTGGCAGCAGCGGCGGCTACAGCGGCGGTGGAGCTACCACGCAAGCTCGTGGCTCAGGCGATGGCCAGTGGCGCGATGGCAAGCACGTTCCTGGTCCCGCCAATGCTCGTCTAGAGCGTGAGCTGTTCGGTGTTCCCAACGACCCCACCAAGCAGCAAACTGGAATCAACTTCTCCAACTACGATGATATCCCCGTCGAGGCCTCCGGAAATGATGTCCCAGAGCCTGTTACTCAGTTCACTAACCCTCCTCTGGACGACCACCTGATCGCCAACATTAAGCTGGCCAGCTACATCATTCCTACCCCCGTTCAGAAGTACTCCGTTCCTATCGTCATGAACGGCCGTGATCTTATGGCCTGTGCCCAGACTGGTTCCGGAAAGACTGGTGGTTTCCTTTTCCCCATCCTTTCTCAGGCTTTCCAGAACGGTCCTTCCGCCGCCCCTGTCCAGGGTGGTGGTGGTGGTCAGTTCAGCTACGGCCGCCAGCGCAAGGCTTACCCCACCTCCCTCATTCTTGCTCCCACTCGTGAGTTGGTCTCTCAGATCTTCGAGGAGGCCCGCAAGTTCGCTTACCGCTCGTGGGTCCGCCCCTGTGTCGTGTACGGTGGTGCAGACATCGGCTCTCAGCTTCGCCAGATCGAGCGTGGTTGCGATCTCCTCGTTGCCACCCCTGGTCGTCTGGTCGATCTGATTGAGCGTGGTCGTATCTCCCTGGCTAACATTAAGTACCTCGTTCTTGACGAGGCTGATCGCATGCTGGACATGGGTTTCGAGCCCCAAATTCGCCGCATTGTCGAGGGTGAGGATATGCCTGGTGTTAACGATCGTCAGACACTCATGTTCTCGGCCACCTTCCCTCGCGATATTCAAATGCTTGCTCGTGATTTCCTCAAGGACTACATCTTCTTGTCCGTTGGTCGTGTCGGAAGTACTTCGGAGAACATCACCCAGAAGGTCGAGTATGTCGAAGATGCTGACAAGCGCTCCGTCCTGCTGGACATTCTTCACACCCACGGCAGCACTGGTCTGACTCTTATTTTCGTTGAGACCAAGCGCATGGCGGACTCCCTCTCCGATTTCCTCATTAACCAGCGTTTCCCTGCCACCGCCATTCACGGTGACCGTACCCAACGCGAGCGTGAGCGTGCTCTGGAGCTTTTCCGTAACGGTCGCTGCCCTATTCTGGTTGCCACTGCCGTTGCTGCTCGTGGTCTCGATATCCCTAACGTGACCCACGTCATCAACTACGATCTCCCTACTGACATTGACGACTACGTTCACCGCATTGGTCGTACTGGTCGTGCCGGTAACACCGGTATCGCCACTGCTTTCTTCAACCGTGGCAACCGTGGTGTTGTTCGTGACTTGCTCGAGCTCCTGAAGGAGGCTCACCAGGAGGTTCCTCCTTTCCTCGAGAGCATTGCCCGTGAAGGTAGCGGATTCAGCAGTGGTCGTGGCCGTGGCGGTGGTGGCCGTGGCCGTGGCGCTGCTGCTACCCGTGATGTGCGTCGTATCCCTGGCGGCATGGGTGGTGGCTTCGGCGGTGCTGGCGGCTACGGTGGCTCTGGTGGTGCTGCCCCCTCCTACGGCGGTAGCGGCTATGGCGGCGCTGCTGCCCCCGCTTACGGCGGCGGTGGTGCTGGCTACGGCGGCGGTGGCAGCTACGGTAACCCCTCCGGATCCTCCGGCCCATCTTCCTGGTGGTAAATCAGTCGTGGTCTTTTGACGAGGCCCTCGGGTCTGATTGGCTCCCTTGCTTTATTTTCTTTTGTCTCTCGTTGACGGATACGATCAGATTGAGTCCCTGAGTTCTTTTCTACCTGTGCTATCTCTCAGGGACGGCTTTGTCATGACTGCACGACTTTCCTATGCTTGTTTTTAGATTCATATTTTCCCGTTTGCGTATGCTTTAATCTGGTTTCCTTTGTTGTTCTTCTCTTGCCTCTTCTAGCTGTTCTATTCATGGCTTTTCAATATTGCCTGTCTGGATGCGAGGCATTCGCGCAGTCCGGTCTTCTTTTCTTGCTCCTGGGAGGCACCAGTTCTCTCTTCGGGCAATCTGTGATCGAAACTGCATGAACATCATAGAATGCGTTGTCTTTTTTTTTCCTATGTCCGCTCTCGTCAGATACCCCTTATGTTCGAGCATCCCCAATGGGGACACGTTCGAGTGACGCGCGTGCGCCGAGCGGAGATTGATGACTTTTCATCATCTCGAAAAGTTTTCTTTTTCTCTTCGCATTATTTCTCGGTGTTGTTATGGCTGCATTCATCATGTGCAGCATAGACTTTTTACAGC